CCTCCCTCCATCCGCTCCTTTTGGTTTTTTGATTCCTAGAATTGTGGAATCGTACAATTATTAAATTAAATTTCCGGAAAAAGAGAACGGAGAAGCAGAGAGCGAAAAAACAAAAACGTTTTTAAAAAAAAAAAAAGGAAGGAAAAATTAAAAATTAAAAAAAGGAAGAAGGAAATAAACCCGCCAATAAAAAAGAAAGGAGGAAAAAAGAATAAGAAAATTTCATTCTATTTTTTTATTCACTTATTTTTTTTTTTTTAAAAAAAAACTTGTCACTCGCTTCTGGCTTCTCTGCGTGGGTGTCGCACGCCTGATAGGAAGTGTCTGACTGAGAGATATTATTGAATATTAATCAATCTCACTCTGGGTTATTAGTTTCATCAGTGTCATTGTCGTCATTATCGTCAGCGTCATTAACATCAGCATCATATTACCCCAACCACCCACTATCTCTATTATCTTAATTCTCTTCTTCGACTGCCTCTTCCCGTCGCACCAGGAGAATGTCCACTGCGGTCGCTCCTCCTACCGCTGCTCCCCTGCGCCCAATAGTCAACCGTGAGCGTGCCAACGACTCTTCCACGAACTCGTACCCCGTTCTCGCTCCAATGTCATCGTCCACCTCCACTCCGTCGCAATCTACGAACACGACTTCTGCCGTCTCCTCAGCCGACCGCGGCTCGGGGAAAACCACCTCCCCGGTTGGCAAGCGGTCACCAAATACGTATGTCTATGCTTAAAAATTTACTTGAACATATCATCTTTTTACGGCTGCGTGAAAAATCCTAATATTACTAATAATACTAACTGGTCTAGCTCTCGAAGCGGAGGTGCCGTATCCAAAATATCCGTCAAGAAGGAACCTCCAACCTCTCCCAGCCTGCACTCCAGTTCCCGTCACCGGCCGCGCAAACTCGATCTCTCTGCCAGCACTCTCTCTTCACACTCAACCACATCGCGTGGCCCTTTAACCTCACGGGAAGGTGGCCTGGCTGCCATGCATGATGTTGGCCTGGCCTGTCTATCACCCGGCTTCCAGACCCAAGACCCAGCCATCCGAGAACAGCTCCAGCGCAGCATCTCTGTCAGAGACCAGCAGAGGTCCATCATTGAATCGCGCCTGCAAAAGACAGCCAAAGGCGACGGCCCTGATGGAGTCAAACCATCTGAATCAAATCTCTTTGGATCGCTCAAAGCCTCATCCACGAACAAGAAACGACCCCCTCCAGGCTTATCAATCGTTCCCCCCTCCGCCTCTCAGTTCGCCAATGAACGGGTTATTCAGTCCGCCCCGCTCAACCAGACCTTCACGGGACGCCACCACCCACACCACATCACTCATCATCTCATCTCACACCCATCTGACCACATGAACTCCCCTTCCTCCACCCACATCCACCATGCACCAGCGAACCAAACTAACAACCGCCTTCCGCCCATTGCGGATGTCTTTGGCTCCGATGCTCTCGTTCCCCGCACCCAAGACCGCGACCATCGCGACTGGGATCGTGATGATAGAAATATCCCCCGCAACAACCACAGCAGCAGCAATCATAATACTAATAATACTAATACTAATAATAATAACAATAACAACTTCTATCAATCAGCCACAACCGCACCGAGACCACCACTAGCTAATCCCACTAATACTAATAACAGCAGTAACAACAACATTCCTCTTCCCTCTCCCAGCCTCCCTATAAATCAAAACCAAAACCAAAACACCTCTTCTACATCCTCCACCTTCTCCTCCATGCAAAGACCCCGCGAATACCGCTCGGCCGAAGAAGCCGTCCACGAACTCGCGGGTGGCCGCGAAGATCTCCTCCCGCGCATCATACATTACAATGGAAACAGTAACCTTGCAAACGCCAACAATAACAATACCAATTCAGCCCAAGGACCCCAACACCACCACTCCCCCGGCGCAAACGGCAATCACCAGTCTCAGCAACAGCAGAGCTCCCTATATCCCCACCACCCACACTCAGCAGCCACACCTATAGCCGGTAGCGGCATACACGTGTCCCAATCTAGCCGTCGCCGCTCGCGCAACGAATACGAGCGTGATAATGGCAGTCCGCCACTAGGTGCTGGGCCGGATGTGCGTTTTCGACACGCGCCACTACCGCCTGTTGCAGCGTCAACGGCGAGTGCTGGTGGAAGTGGGAGTGCGGCCGGGAATGCGGCTGGTGGTAGTCCTCCTGGAGGGTATGCTGCGGGTGGTATGGGGTATGGTGGCGGGTATGGGTCGTTTGGGGCCAGGAGAGATTCGCCGGACACGCAGAGGAGGAAGAAAGATGAGTTTTTGGGATTGTGTGCGCGTGCGTGGGACTTGTTTCATTCGTAGGTGAAAGGGATAAAGGAGATGGGTAAGGCGTTACCAGCCACGGCCCTTTTGAATCTGGATTGATCTGATCTGATCTGGTCACTAGGGATCCTCTTTCTCATGGGTTTTCGGATTTCGGTTCTTTTTTGTGTTTCGTTTCCGTTCTCGTTATTGGTTTTTGGTTTTTGCCTCTTGCCCTCCCTCTCTGGCTTTGGATGACTGGTGGGATCTCTCTGACCTGATCCACTTAAACAGCTTATCTTGTCCATCTATCCGTGAGGTGTTTGGATGGGTTTGCTGGCTGGTCCAATGCCGCCGATTGATTGATTGATTGATGGATTGACGTCGACGTTGACGTTGACGTTAACGCACATGCTGATGTTTATGTTTTTTTGATATCTAGTTTTCTTTTTGCTTTTTCCTTTCCCCACTCCCCCCTTTCTTCGTTGCCTTTTTTTGAACATTTCTTTCAGCCCAGTCCATCTTTCCTTTGATCTCTTCACATTTTATTAAACACCTTTTGATTTCATATTCTCCGGGAAAACAATTCCTTGAGTCATTTCAAGCTGGTTTCTGATATCCAACCTGTGTTTTTCTTTCATTTTTATACTCTTACATTTTTCCATTTCAATTTCCATCCTATTGTCTCATATCATTTCATTTTCTAGCCCTTTTTCTCGTTAGGTATATGCATTCCCCCTTCGCGCCTTGCCCTCTCTGTCCAACTTATTTCTCACCCTCTCTCATTTCTTTCTTTCTTGCTCTCTTTTTATGTCCAACTCTTTAACAATAGTTGAGGCGCTTTTTCTAATTTTCTAATTTTCTAATTTTATTATCCTTTTTTATCTATTCTACATTTTCACATATCTATTTTTTGCGCATTCCCATTCTTATTCTCATCCTTCATATTTTTGTTTTCTCATTTCATATTTCACTATTATTCTAACTATTTTGACCCTTGGCAACAGTTTCATGTTTTCTCACATTTTTAGCTTTATATCAATCTGGCTATATTGGACTGACTGTTACTCTTTGGCTTTATTTTTATTTATGCATATGGACTTTTACCAATTCTCGGCTCAAATTTATCTTTTGAATGATCTTATTAAATTCCTCATCAGTTGCGGATTTGATCATCTACCTAGTCAAGTGTAAGTGAACGGCTAAACTCCCCCAATTGAGACACCTGAGGCTAATTAATAGCCATTATTTTTCACATTTTATAGTTTCTTCATTCGTGCATGAGAGGGATGCATGTAATTGTTTATATGAATCAGTGTGAATGATAATTTCTTCTATTCAGGATATCTATACTCTATACCATATCTATTCAATGCACCATAGGTTTATATATTATATTGTTATGACCTTTACATTCATCAATTCAATGCAACGCTACTCGTTACAATTCATAAAAATCATTCATCCATCATTCAATCGTCCGTCTCTATAACTCAACAATCATCAAAACTCAAAACTCTAGGCTCTCAATCCATCATCTAGTACAACACCCCCCTCCGCCTCCCTATCTCTACTCCCCCAGTCTGTTCTACTGTCCCATGGATCATCGCCGCCAGCAACAGTTACAGCATCAGTCTCTACGGCCGCATCCGCATCCGCAGCGAGCCGGGCAGCTTTCTTCACACGCTTCTTTTCACGTCTCCTATGCACTCTCGCTTCTTCTAATGGCATATTTTTTGAATCTTCTTCCGCTAAACGATTGGTTGGTTGCGGTGCTTGGATATGATTTGGAACTGGGTTCTCATGACCATTCCGCGTCTGGACTGGCGTCTGTATTTCTAATTGCGACAGGGATTGATTGGCCAGCAATGCATCCACATCCGCATCCGCGCCCGCACCCGTACCCGTACCCTCTCCGGCTCCATCCATCAGCCCAATGACCTCCTCATCTCTCGCTAGCTGCTTATCCCAAAATTCCTCAATATCAACCTTCGAATGGGATCGCGGCATGCTGCCATCACCACCACCATGTCCTTCCCCATTCCCACCCTTTTTCTGCTGTTGCTGCTGGTGCTGCAGCCTCTTCCTTATTTCCTCCCACTCGCGCACTTTGCAGCTAACATCCTCGTAGCGGGAAAGGACGTGCAGCTGCCGCAGTACGGTATCGAGCACTTTCTCCTCGTACGCGGCGGGGTTGGAGTTTGTGAATTCGGGGATTTCAATGATGTTGTGGGGTTGTGCGAGGGCTTTGAGGGCGCTATCGTCTATTAGGATGGTGTTTGTTTGGTTCCATGGGGTGGGCGATGGAGATGTGGTTGTAGTTATGCTTTTGGCTTTGTTGTTCCTTGTCTTCTTCGTCTTACTATCACCGATAGGATGTGCAAGATTGCCGCTGGTATTATCGATATCGGTTTCGGTTTCGGTTTCGGCTTCGGTTTCAACGCTTCTAGCGGTTTCAGCAATTCCAGCACTTCCCGGATAAGTCTGGACAATCCGCTCATCTCTCCACACCTTATCCAACCTCTTATAAACCTGCACCTTCTCCGAATACTGCCTTGCCGTCAGCCCCAGCGTATCCCGCGCCCACACAGCGATAAACTTCCCCCTCTCCTCCTTCGTGAAAGTCTTCTCGAATACCTCCCGCACCGTCAGCGGCTGCGAACTTGTCCACACCATCACCGTGTAATTTGCGAATAGCTCTGTGATGAATTTGTGCAGGCCAGGTCGGGTTTTGAAACGGATCGGTCGCCGGCCTACGCGGTGTATGAGCGTGCCGTTTAGATCGAGGATTATGAGCAGCGGTTGCGCGGTTGCGCGGAGTTTGGGGGGGTGGGAGGATTGGGAGAGATAGGTGGGTGTTGGGGTTGGGGCTTGCGGGTGTGTTACGGAGCGGCGAGGGGAAGATGGAAGGGGTCGGGGGTTGGAGTTGGAATCAGGGTTGGCGCGTGGACATGTGTTGGATTGTGGCAGTTGCGATTGCGGCTGCTGATGTTGCTGTTGGAGATTGTTGAAATCCGACGTATGTTGAGTGGCCATGGTGGAATAGTAATTGATCGGCGTAAAGGGGAGGATGGTAGAGAACGGGTGCGGGTAATATTGGAGTGGAGCACGCAGCTGCTGATATTGATGTTGATAATGGAATTGGAATTGGTTCTGATACTGCTGTTGCTGCTGATGTGGCAGCGAGAAATGGTTTGGAAACTGCAACAAAGGTATTGCTGCGCCCCCCAGCGGTCTAGATAAGAAGTTGAAACACCATCAACAAGACAGCCCGAGATTGGGATTGGAAGTTTGGAATACAAAGGAGAGGGAATATTCACATCGACGCCATTTGTGTATGCGCATATACGCGTGTGGGCGCAGGCGCAGGTGCAGGTCTCCGATCACGCCACGGACCCCGCCCAGGAGACGGGTACTGATACGTAGGCACATTCGGTTCAGAGGGTCTCTCCAACTCTAGGCGTCTGCCTTGCCGACTAGACGATGAAGATTCGGTTTCATGGTGCTGCTGCTGCTGCTGGCATTGCTTACGCGAATTTGGCTCATGGTCATGCGCGGTCCATCTATTGGCGAAAGATCTCCAGGCGTCGGGCCTGTATATTCGGTCGCTGTCGTCGGCGGAGGGGAGAGGGGTGCTCATATTTGCTGGGGTGGAATGAGGTTGTTTTCGGGATAATACAGACTGTTGTAAAAGGAGTTTGTTAGAACGGAGCTGCTGACTTGGGAAATGCTGGGGAGGAAAGGGATGAACTTCTCACGGTATACTGTGTTATAATATTGGTCGCAGTTCTCGACGAGGACTTAAGGAAAATTGTCCGCAAAGGATGCGGTCGGACCATCATATGGTAAACCAAAGGATAGAGAACTGGTAGGGGAAATCTATCTATAAAGTTTACACCAATTGAATATTGAATACCAGTTGTTTATCTTCATCATTATCATCTTCTTCTTCTTCTTCTTCTTCTTCTTTTGGTGTGGAGATAGAAGAAGTTTTAATATCACGTGGGAGGTTAGTCAAAATATCACTTATATACCGCCTTGATGTCTTGCGGCAGAATAATTTACTTTTTAACTCGTGAATTGAGGAAATACGTAATAATAATATACCTACGTATAGATAAAAGAGAAACGAGATGCCGATTTTAAGCAAACTCAATAAACGAGTTAGAGCTCGGGTGGAAGAAGACGATTTTGAACATTTCTCACAGGAATCGGCCTCTGATGGGAGCGAATTGGGGGAAGAAGATGAGGAGACTGATGATAGCGACGGATCAACCAGTGAGAGTGACGATGGCAGTGGTAGGGATGGTGATGAATCCGAGAATGAGGATTTAGAGGTATACACCTGGCCTTGATTTATTGAGAGCCCAGTATATTCCCAATCTCAATACCTTATCCAACTAACCACTTCCAGTCCGACTCTGCCTCCGATGCAAACTCCGATATAACCTCTTCCTTAAACAACATATCCTTCGGCGCTCTCGCAAAGGCCCAGGCATCCCTGGGGAAACGAAAGCGGTCCACTACCTTAACAGCAGACATCGCGTCCAAGAGGCCAAAAGGCCCAAGTCGAAGCCCCCCCGCACCCTCGTCCAAGGAAGATCAAAAATACCCTAACGCCACAAAACCCCCTCAAAAACTTTCCCACCGCACCTCCAAACACGCCCCAACAATCCAATCATCTCGCCACGCCGTCACTCGCAAACGCACCGTAATCGAAACCCCCGCAATCCCCCAAGCCCGCGACCCACGCTTCGACTCCGTCGTCCTAAACCACAGCACAAACGGCAACCCATCCATCGCCACCAACGCTACCATCCATGCGAGTAAAAATTACGCTTTCCTCAACAGCTATCGCACAGAAGAGCTGTCACAGCTCCGCAAGCGCCTGCAGAATTTACAACGGGAGAAGAGCAAAGACACACATGACGAGCGCGAGATTGAACGGCTCAAGAGGCAGATTACGTCTATGAGTGATCGGATGCAGACGTTTGAGCGCAAGGAGATGGAGCGGGAGGTGCTGGCGGGCCATAGGCGGAAGGAGCGCGAGGCAATTCGCGAGGGGAAGAAGAGCCAGCCGTGGTTTTTGAAGAAGGGGGATGTGAAGCGTGAGGTGGTTACGAGGAGGTTTACGGAGATGAGTGGGAAGGAAAAGCAGAGGGCGTTGGAGAGGAGGCGGAAGAAGATTGCTAGTAAGGAGAAGAAGGAGATGCCATGGGCCAGGAGGGGGGTTGAGTAAGTTGCTTATTGTTCACTTTCATATGTGTATGGTATGTTGGTACTTGGTTGCGATATCCCTGAGTTTATCAATCACATTTACGAAAGGTGGTTGTGTATTTGAAGGACACTGGTGTATTTTCTGCATCACCTCCAATAATCCAGCTTATTGGGTTCTAACATGTGGTTGGTTTTACACGGGGGCTACATCATTAATATTTGACAGTAAATAAGGGCAAAGAACTCGTTGGAAGAAGATTTTTTTTTAATTCATGATATATATTCAGATTTCAGCTACACTCAATTGAATCATTTCACATTACTTGATGGTGAAATAGCTGCTTCAACCCGCTATTCTTTATCTTGCTGGGGAGGGGTGGATATCGGAAAGAAGACATGATGATGGACGCGCTAAATGTTGACGAGGTGATATAGATGAATGTGAAGCAAATAAAATATAAAGAGACCGGGTGACGACAGGCGGGGATGACAGCGGGTAAACTTTTTAAATCGACATTAAAAGCCAAATCCCACGTTCACTCTCTATTTGAAGACACGACCATCAGCCCACTCGTACTCTTTACCGTCAACAGTGGTGGAGACATCCTGAGCCCATTGATTCTCAATGAACTTGCGGTCCTCTGGCTTGCTGGCATCCAGCTTGGTGAAGGTGTAACTTTCCCAGTCAGGGGCAACGTCGAAGGCTGGGGCGGCATCGTTGCCGCGGATGACAAAGGCACCCTGGATGATGGAGTCACCGGTCTTGCCGAAGACGGAAGCAGCGCCGAAAATGAACTTGCGGGAAGCCTCGAGACGGGCAAAGAAGCCACCTGAGGTTGTTTTGTTAGACCGGCGCAATGGGGAATGGATTGATAATGAAGAAATGACAATATGAACAGGGAAACTAACCAATCAAGTTGTTGGACATGAATACCATCTTGAGCTCGTCGTTGTATTTGTAGTCAGCCTTCCACAGGGAGTATTCGTCGGGCTTGTAGTGCTCCCAGAACCATGGCATGGCAACAGATCGGGTGTCCTCGTTTGAGTACTTGCGCTTCCAGTCGTCAAGGATCAAACTTGGCTTGGAGAGGGAGTCGAGGGGGTGCTTGGGCTTTGAGGCGGGCTTGGGCTCTTCTTCCTCTAGCTCTGGGGCCTTGGGTTTAGCGGCAGGTGCGGCAGCCTTCTGCTCGGTTTTCTTTGGGGCAACATTCTTCAAACCCTCCTCGGTAAAGATTGGGTTGGGAACGATGGCTTTGTACATGTCTTGGTTAATGACCGTCTCATACCATCTCGTCACCGCGGGGTTATCCAGACGCCAGGAGCGGCTCAGGACAAATTCGAAGCCGCGAGAGCTAAGTGAGGCAGCAAAAATGTCAGCAAGGGTGAGACGTTCGCCAACCAGGTACGTGTTAGTGGTAAGATGCTTCTCGAGAACGGCAAGGGCTCTGAGAGCGGCCTTGGAGCTGGCATCGACAGACGCCTTGTTGTATGGGTCTCGTCCAACAAGGGGGCGGAACCAGTTGCCAAGCGTGGGAACGAGTTCGCTGTTGGCAAACGACATCCAGCGCAGGATGGAAGCATAATCCTGCTTAGTCTTTCCAAGAAGAGTGGTCTTCTCATTTTGAGAAACGACTACATTTCTGACACGTTAGTTTCGACACTGATTCGCTAAAATAGTCTGAACATCAAGCGAACATGACAACAAGGTTGCACACATTGTTAAAATAAACAAGTGGTTCAGAGTTAAAATGCAGTCAACAGGAAAAATTATAGATTCTGTCAGGGATAACTGAATGATAATATGACTCATCATGGAAAATAAAATAATATAAAATAAAAAATATATGTATATATATTGAGAACGGTGCAGAAAGCTGCGAAGGGCGCAGTGAGGGGTAAAAAGGGGGTTGATATACATACGGTAGACAGCAATGGCAATGCACTCAGTCAGGACAAAGCCGTTGGAACCCACAAAGGTGGGGATCTTGTTCAGAGGATTGTACTTCGCGTACTCGGCCTCAGGAACAGTGGACTGTTCGATGAGCTTGACATCGAGGTTATTGGCCTTGGCTGCCACTCTGCACGCGGTGGTGCGAGGGTTGTCCTGGTGGATAAAGACATATGAGTATCAGCGTTGTCAAGAAGCCCCTCCCTCCACGTTACAAAAAGAACCAGTGAGATGCGAAAACCAAGACAGCACACGCAAGAGAGGTGCAACACTTACAGCCATGCCGTAGATCTTCCCGAATGACATGTTGAAGAACACAGAACGAATAGACACTTGTCAGGGAATGGGGATAGGATTATAAAATGCGGGCGATCTTTAGAGATGTTTTGATTGAGGAAATAAAAAAAAAAAAAGATACGAATCAAAAGTTTCCTTTCTGGGCCAAACCAAGTAGAATTTGTCAGCTCGGCTCCGGAGAAATATCACCGCCGATCACAATGAACACGTGATATATTTTCTATATCACGTGCTGTAGTTCTTCCACCTGCGAAAAAAAGAGGAACGACGACATTTTGGGCGGATACAGCTTCATATCTACCAGACACCCACACCATTGCGTTCTGCACAATGGCATGGCAGAGGCCGAGCTGTGTTGCTCGCGCTCTCAGATCCACACAGAATAGCTTTCAATGGGAATCCCACCTCTCCCGCCCTTCATTTATAGCTCCCCGGAAGCAGTGTCTCTCCACAGTCGCACCCGCAATGTTTCTCCGCTCTCAGAAACGCTCCCAGAAACACTCCCAGAAACGCTCTCTATCCACATCGGCCGAGGAACCCGAGATTAAAGCTGCTCCCCCAATTGATACGGCGAAACTGAAAATTACTCCCTCCCGTATACTGCCTACCTCACCCGCCTACTTCACCGGTACCCCGAAATTCATCGACGATGTGTTGAAGTTGGAATATATTCAAAGCAAATATGCTCTGTTACCCACTGTCCCCGCCAGTGAAGCGCCACGGACGGCTTTTCTCAAACATGCAGACTATAAAAATGTTATTAACGAGGAGGTACCCGCCGCCAAATATCGCCAGCTGCAGAAAATTCTGTTCAGGTTGAACCAGATCCAACCGGACTTGGTACCCAAGGAAGTAAAAGATGTTCTAAAGAATTTCATACGACCGGGAAACCCATATCAGCAACAACTAAAGCCCAAGGAGCTCGACAACAAGGGTCGGGCTAGAGGCGTTGGGCGACGGAAAACTTCACATGCACGAGTTTGGTTGGTTGAAGGAGAGGGGGAGGTGCTCATCAATGGCAAGAATATCGTTCAAGTGTTCTCCAGACTCCATGATCGAGAGAGTGCTCTCTGGCCCCTAAAGGTGACCAATCGCTTGGATAAATATAACGTTTTTGCTATTGTGCGTGGGGGTGGTGTTACTGGTCAAGCAGAAGCCATGACTGTTGCTCTGGGGAAAGCTCTTCTGGTTCATGAGCCTGCAATAAAGCCGATATTAAGGAGAGGTATGTTGTTTCAGCCGGTTCTAGACGCGTGGTTGGTTTTGACGCTGTCTATTGTCGAAAATTTTCATTCTTTTACTCCGCCCATCCTTTTTCAAAGTCAACTTGAGGACTGACCACATTTTCTTTCGTACTATTAGCCGGTTGTATCTCAACGGACCCTCGACAAGTCGAGAGAAAGAAGCCGGGTCACCTTAAAGCAAGAAAGATGCCTGCATGGGTCAGGCGGTGAAATTTGCATTTCGTTTGTGGCGCCCTTTTTCTTTGCTCTTCTTATGTATTCTTGGATAATTTATCGTTCTCATTAGCACACTGTATATCAGCTCAATGTCTTCTTTTCATTTTTGTGTTTTACGCCGTCTTCTGGCGGTTTGGTGATCCCTCGGAGCCCGCATAGAAATCAATCAAAGTATTTACCACGGAATCAACAGTGTGTCCTTGTTATGATTCCGGTCGTCTTCAAAATCAAGCTCAGCGTCTTACAGGTAATGCCAAAACAAGGGGCAAAACGGCTTCCGATACGGAAGTCCGACAATAATCGGTGACCGGCCAGAAAAGGCAATGAACCGGATGATGCTGTACTTCACCCACAGAATTTCCCGAGCATCCATGTCTGAAGATCTCCTTGAGGTGCTGCTTTGCACATGGATTAACCAATATTATTGTTACTATTATTATTATTGACTTTACAACCGAACGAAGAATGTTTCAACTATACCTCATTCTCGCATGGACTTTCCTCACAACAGTTGGCTCAACAGGTGGCTATTGCGATCCCTGTCTCCATGTCTGATTTTTTTTATTTTTTATTTTCTCAACAACGCTTCAACTTCTTGCACCAAGCACCAGGTCACATAGATTCTGCGCACATGGACCCATACATATCCTTTCCCATGTTGGCGGCTTTTCGCCGAGTACTGGCCATACTCTAGTTAGGAAAATAATATGCTATTCATCAACACACCGTCAGACAACCATCAATCACATCCTTTCCTTGCAATCTGACCGGCCCGCCTGCCAGGGACTCTAATACCGCATCTTACAGTGCCAAGCCGCAATAGCACAGACAATGTGTGCCACGGATGAATGCAACAAGCCGACGACACCGTACCACATTTCTAAAATATTCAACTCTTTTCTTTTTCCTTTATTCCTCCCAATTGTCCCCCTTATTCCCCGTCACCTAATACGCCCATACATCTTAAAGCCAAATTCTTGCTTGGAAAGGCACATACAGACCCAAACCCGATATATCTAGCTCTCAGGTTCTGGATCCCGTGGACCTTGAACCCTGTGCCTGGCTTTAGATGGCATCAACATGGGATAGTGCATGAACACCTACCACTACCAACCCTCCAATTCTACCTATCTACCAACTTCCGTCTAACCCATTCCCCAAAGTCATCCTAGTCGGCCCCTGTTTCCCGCTCGATTACCCTGGTGACGGATCTGCAAAGGTCGTTCCTGTTTGGGCTTCAGTTCGCTAAGCAACTGACGCCTTGAAATTTTTAAGCTTCTTCCCTGAGTTGTGTTTTGTCAATGTGTATATTTGATGGGTGCGTGATAGTTAGTGGTCTCGGCGCCAGCTTTATATGAGGGTCTCTGCTGGATCACTCTGCATATTTATCGATCCTTTTCAGCACCCCTGACATGTCATCATCCAATTAAGAACAAAAGCATATGAAAGAAATGAAGGGAGCAACGCATCATCCTGGCTCCAGGTGTGCATTCGTATCCACATCTTGTTCCAATTCACGGAAAATCGAGCGACATCGACACCGGTTCCACGCCATAATCTACTAGAAGAAATACAGCAAATCACCTTTCCCACTTTCCTTCATCAGATCCGTTAGAATATCAACCCCATGTTCTAGCTTCTCCAGCTCCGTGCATACATTCAGAGGTCAAACCGGGGCAAGAAGAAGCCTGCTGTGTAGATCCACACTATTACTCTACATGTGTGGCACAAAGCACACCCGAATCCACTTCCCTACACATAATCTGGCCAAGTGTTCCCGTCACCCAACCAATAGACCCTACAACAGCCCAAAGAGGCAAGGGGCGTTGTGTGGGCATCGTTGCTGGTTGCAGTTAACGGGTTAACGGCCCTTTGACTGCTGTCTACTCCATGTAGTGCCGGCTCAAAATGCATCCATTCTCTGCGTATGGGAGGACGGGCTTTTCATTTTGGGAAGCTTAAGGGTGTGTGCGTGTGCTCCATGTTCTGGCGAGAGCACAAACGCACGGGAGCGGGAGCAGCAGCTAGTCTAGTATCGGCGTGACTCCAGGACCCACGACCTTCTGACCTCTGGTTTGGCCAATTTTTGGTACGGAGTGGAAATATTTAGCCACAGGGGAAGATAAATCCTGGGTGTTTGTAGTTGTTCCCCTTCTCGACGAGGGATACCCGCGGGAGTGGGAGTGAAGGGTCAGGGAAGAATGCGGCGGAGATCTGCGCTTGATTTCTCGTTCCGCGGGTCAGCTGGGAATGTGCTTGCGATCTAGAATGCGCGACAGGACAGGACAGGGCATGAATGCCATATTCCCCGTCATTACATTCGATAGTTCATGGTGTGGCTTTCGAGAAACGGGGTCAGAAGGCGGGGTCAGAAGCCGAGTTCTAGGATTTTAGATTTGAGCTGACATCCCCTATGTAGGAGTGCTCAGCCTTGATGTCGAAGTGGTTACATTTTATCCTTGGAAATTGCATGTCCTTCTATGAATCGTTTCTGGAGAGTTCCATTTTTCTCAATATCTCGTTACCAGGCTTGATCACTTTTCTCCGTACAATTTTTCAAGGGAAATTAACCCGGCTCAAAACTGGAAATTTTCGATTTTTGCATGCATCTGCTACGTGATATATAATATAGAATATTTAAATAATCGAATAAGCACAAGTCTCGCTCTTGAATCTGTTGAATGATAAAAATCACCATCCCCAAATAATCCAACAAACAACCCTTCATTCTTAATACACGAAGTCTCCTTTAATAACGCATTATCGTCAAATTTTCAGCACTACCTCCGAATAAGAAACTAACAATCATTGCTCAACATCATCTGGAATATTTTTGAGGTTGAATAGTACATTCGAGGAGCCTAGCTCCATTCATTGGCCATTGCATTTCTGCATTAAGATTAGAATCGGTGTTTAACAATTATTGTGGTGAAACGAGTTGTGATACATTGTGTGCATATCCTGCGCTATGTTCGCGGTCGTATTGGAGTTTTAGAACCCTGAAGGTGATGATGCGTAACTGTTCTTGTCTCCTCTCGCATTTGTCGCCTTGCTTCATCACTCCAAGTGAGGCTATGTGCGACGAACCAGGAGACCTGGTTTTAAATTTCTCGCATGGACGAAATTCGAGCCAATGTATGAGCGGTTCGTGTGAAATATTGCGCCTAATGCATTTGGATTTTGCCACACTGTGATCTTTTCAAGGATTGAGGAATCCTAATTTATGCATCGACGCTCTCTGTCTGAATGGAAGCGAACAAGTGGGCAGTGTGGGCCGGAGCATACACGCCTGGTTTCTGCAGCATGGCTCGTAGGAAAAGGAAGCTATAAAAATGATATGTGTGCTCTGTCAACGTGTGGAGTTACGTGATTCATTTTCTAAATAGATGAGTCTGGGCTGATACTGCGTGCAGGAATTGATGACGTAGAGGGTGCTGGAAATTGTTTATATTATGGTGGTGAGACGGGAGGTTATATTGAAACATCCTTTCATAACAATGATATGCCATCACGAATGAGATATCCAAGTTGTGGGAGTATTCTGTAGGAAGTGGTATATGGGTACGTGTCAAATGCTTACCGTGATTAATTATTTTTGAAGCATGGATTGTCTCTACCTGCTGCTGTACGCATGAAATGTTTGTTTTATTCCCAATCTGGAGCCAAATGGGTAGTTGGGGGCAGCAAATGCGCAATTCTAAACCTGTTGAACTATATATAAGATGATTCAGATGCCACCAATAATGGGGAAGTTCAGCATGAGCATGAACTTGTGTAAACTCGTTTCCGAGTCATCCCACGACCTTCGTGTCTCGAAATTAAGTATTCTTCGACTCTCAGCTCGGCTTAGGCTCGAGGGTAGGATAACTGAAGCGATCAATATTCCATCCTAGCTGCTTCGCCAGAGCTTCCACCGTGCCTTAATTATTTTCACTTCATGTCGGGTGTGGTGTCCCTCTGAACCTCTAAAACTGTGCCACACCACAGCAGCAGAACCAAGTGAACCCGGCAGGCGGCTTGTCAGGTATGAACTGGGCAGCTGTTTTGAGCGCTTCCTGCAACAGATACTTGCGAGCCTTGCCTTGAAAAGCGTCCGTCAAGTCAATGTAGATAGTTGGCTTTCGTTAAGCGTCATTTTTGTCTCGTTGCAGAGTGCAAGTTGCAGGGATAAATCTTCGGGTCGTCCAACTAAAGGAATTCTTAAATAAGCTTAGATCTTGAGTTTATTTAAGGGATGGTTGGGGGAAAGTTCCTACTACTATTTTGTCACTGTTTCCACCACCTTTCCCCCCCCAACCTTTTCTTTTTCTTTCTTTTTTCTCTCTAGATTGAAGCCAGGATTTTGGCTCTGAAGAATTTTGTTCCAATCATCCTGAAATTGACTTAAATCTCTTGGTCTAAGGATCACATCATTGAACTTAAGTACTTATCCTTCCGATCTGCCTCGCAGGGGTTGTGATGGATTTTCACAACTCACATGGCACTCCAAAGTCTGAATCAGGTCAGTTTGATTTTCGGCCTGGTTCCCGAGCCGGGGCGTTTGTCTGGACACTTCTGTGGATATTCCAGAACGCGGGCTGCGCCAGTTGCCGCTAGGATGAACCAAGATCCGCAAATATGCAGCTAAACGGGTAACTAGGGTATGTTAACAATCTTTGTCTCGTTTGGACTCCTTATTTACCTTCGAGAAGAATTGTCGAAGAACTTAGCTTTGGGAGCTGAAACCATTTTTTGGTATTATTAATCTCCGATACGTACACGACGTGATGTCTGGACCCTTGCAGGAACCAATGGCTTAAAAGATACCGCCGGGTAGTAGGTGGTGTAGTATTGGATAAGATTGATGGTAGCATTGGAACGTTCTCGTCAGCCTTGCTGGCAGAAATAGTAAGCTAGTTAGGTTGTCAGAACCCACGTTTTTGAGCTCAGTTCTCCAAAAGATAAGAAATAAGAAATAAAAATTGGTGAGCTTCTACTTGGGAAAGGAGGGTGTTGATGGGTGCAGTGACAAGGACACAAAAATTGAGCTCCGCAGACTATCATAAGATAGATGGTGCTTATGATGATCTTTATTCTGCATCGCATTATACTCCACGTCATGCATGATTCACTTAGGTTGATGCTTTCTGAAACCCGGAGTTAAAGCTTGAGTCCCGATATTAAGTATACAGTAACCGTGCCACGCGCACTCACTACCTCCCATTAGATGAGAGGTAGTGAGTGCGCGTGGCACGGTTAGTTAATAAAGTAAAGTGTTGAAATGCAGGTCTTTGCTCATCGCATTCCCGCTTCACGAATATAGCCCATTCTCATCAGCAGAAATCGAAGAGGTGACTCTCATTGATCAAAAGCCAATCACGTTTGAAGAATCATGTCGCGGCAATTTTCGCTGTGCCTCCTTCAAGTCCCGGTTTGGCAGCGTAGCAAAACCTAAAGGGTCAAGTTCTGAAATGGAATTTGGAAAGATCAATATTATTGATGGACCACAGAGACATCAACTATTGGATAGGGACCATCGAGGTGATCCCCGTTAAATCCAATTCTCAAACACTCCTTTCTTTCCTTTTTCCTTTTTCTTTTTCCTTTCTTTTATGCGGATAAGATATACCACATTTTCTGACGCTGTGGCTCCCATCTCAGAAGCCACCCGACCCGAAACAAGCTGCCCCACATATACCGGCTTGACTATACGGCTCAGGACGAGGAGCTTCAACAGTTCGTCAGACGTTCCTGAATGGGTTCGCCTCTGGTTATATCTAGTGGATACACAGAAACAACATATGGCCAGTATTTAATCAATTCAAATTTGTTGAACTCTGTTGTTCCGCCACTTGGCCTGTGAGAATTTCCTTTTCACAATTTAGCATTGACTGTCGATGTTTTTGCTGGAGCTGAAATCTTAAGCAAGCAAGAGGCTGTGAGCCCTCGATGATATATCAATTAAGTGTATACGCATGGATGGAGAGCTGAAACCGGAGTTGGAGTTGTGTTTCAATAAGAATATAAACATGATGATGTAGATTAAGTTGAAGTTGTCGAAGTTTGAAGAAAAAGTGGAACTTAAGTTCAAAAGTTGAGCCTCTTCCCAAAACAGGTTAACAAATTAGTTAAATATGGAACACTTCAACCTCAACTTCAAATGAATCAATGATATCTCTATCCCTGATAAGTGTAAGGCGAGAAATTCACATATGCTCCCTGTCTAGCTCAGGGTCGCAGTGTGATATCAAACTACCTTTTTCGTGCGCAGAGATTCACAGCCCCGTGTTTATCTACCTGCTTTGGCGTGTCCCCCCTGGTGAGATGTGCCCAATTCTAGGCTCAATGTACTCATCAAACCTCAATAAGCTTCCTCCTGAAGATTCACTGGTCAGCCGCTGCATAGCTTGCCAATTTCAGCTAACATCAATCATGCATCCAATTGGCATATATCTCACTCAAGCGCCTGCAGCAAGATCCGAGACTAGACTCCTAATTTTGTCACATTGGGGATTGGAATTCTAGTGGAATGGCTTCTGCTATGGACCATTCAAACGCCGCACTGCCAATGGTTATTGTGAATGAGGGCTGGGATGCGGAACAAGGGGGTCTGATTTCCACCTCCTGCTGAGTCTTAAGCTTTGATGAGGCACGCATTGCTGATAAAAAAAGGTTGCGGCAGAGGTCATACCTAATAGTTACTCCTCTGCTAATTTCTGCCACATGTTATACCAATTCTAGCAGTGTTGACGGGTGCGAGCAATTTAGCAATGCTCCCAGTCTTGAAAAGGCAATGAATGGATACAAATTGAGAAACCTGGGCAATGAGCATGGTTTCAAGACATTATTGCTGACATGCAGATCAAAGAGTTTTCTACGACTATCTTCGGCCATTGGGCGTTCGTCCTAATCTCCTGGCCATCAGGAAATTTGAAATGTGTTTCGACAGCGCAAACAATCTATGACTGACCTAACCTGAAACATATCTGGCGGCATTTTACCATCCTATTTGTGTTATGGTGTCGTTTATAATTACTTCGCCCTTATCGCCCATTATCTGCTAGGCCAACGGCTCTACAAGCGATCCATCAGGACCGCCACAGCCTCCCCGCAATGACAGGCTCCTGATCTTCACATGATGCCTGCTCCGATCAAACTAGGGCATGCTGTAAGTTCGAGCCGCCAGAAATTAGCCCGAAATATGCAGACCAGACAGCCTTATCAACCCCCAGAGCTTGAAAGGATAGGACAGAACGGAAAATGCACCGTGTGGCTATTAAGAATCGGATATTGGACCGTCATTTCTTCCAGAGCAAATGTCCGCAGGCTTAAGTGGCAAATTTGCTGTCGATCTTCTCATGTTCTCTGGGAGTTGCGGATGGCATCTAGAGTCTGTCCAGGCTTCAGAAAATGGGTTCTGTCTCTTCCAACCTACTGTTCTATAATCATGGTCCAATCATTCGCGTGAAATATACGCTGGAAAATATCAACCCTCTAACGGTGAGAGCCAATTACCTCAAAGGGCCTTGACACCCTTCTAGATTCCTCATCTCGTCTTGCGTAACACTTGACCCTCTCTAGCCAAACTTGGTATTTGGCTTTTGAGCGTCGCCTGCTTACTATAATTGCTGCCCCACTATTCTTATTTTCCTTTATTTTTTTGGGGTGGTGGGGGCGCTTCAAGTCATACAGCCAGCCTTGGTGGGTGTTCATGCTCCAATTTCAGTGCATTCTCTGGAGTCTTGACAGAGCTCAAAACATACCAAGAAGGACAAGTGGGAACAAGGGGAGAAAAGGGGCTGGTGGCTGTGTTGGTGTATGGAACCACATCAATCACGGCACATAGGTGAGAATCCAAAAATGGTGTAAACAGATGTGGAAGGCTACCAGAACCGTGTTACAGGAGAGGAACTTCTAAGGATTGGATCTGGTGAGTACTTGCTGACATTTATAACATCTTGAAGTTACTTCCGCATGTTCCATTCATTTTCTAGAGCTGACTCAACCACATCTTTGTTATACAGCAGAAACAACGGGCTCTCTAAGCTTTCTAGATCTTCGTTGAAAAGGTTCCGTTTCTCTCCACGAATAACATTAAGGAGAGCCCAGCGTAAGCAGCTCAAAATTATTTACTGCTGTTTTCTTCTCCCCGGATATTTTAACTCAGTCAGCCCCACCAATGCATTTGGGGTTTCTCTAAATGCAAGCCCTATGCGACTGGGCGCCGCCATTTGACTTGTTACCAAGGGATGTCCCTGTTCATTTCCTCGAGTTATTTCTTGGTCTAGCCGACTTCGGTTGATCGCATTCATGTTGATAAACCCATTTAATCGACCCTTATTGTCATTGCGCCTCCCGGCTCTAGCGCAGAGCAGAGTGACACTTAATCGGCATCTCCGCTTTTCTCCACTAAATATCCCTCCAAGTCCACATTTTCTTAATACTTTTTGGTCAGGTTCGTTATAATCGATTTGATTTCCCTGTTGCTCTTCCTTCCCCGAAAAGTTTCCAATATTTACGATTATCAGACCAAAGGAATTAGAGGAATAACACTAATCTTAATCAAACCTCATTCAATTATTGAATGCCCGTTCGTTTTGAAGAAAAGTTGCCACAACTTAGGTAATGACTGTCTTTGCCCCTGAAATTTGTGTGTACCCTACCCCACCACTATTCTGTTTACCATAATACCTAGGCAGTTCTAGTATTCCCTGCAAAGAGCGAAAGGTCTCCTTTTGGGTTTGTCGTACAGAGTAGATATTGATTGGGAAGCAGGCCAGAGAACCGAAAAACTGGAATTCTACGCAACTCCCCTATCTCGCCTCGGGCGTCTCGGCCCTCTCACCTCGATCCGTCGCGAGGCGGGAGCATCTCACACCACGACGGGGGGATGGATGGTGACGGTCAGCAAAGAAAGAAATATGATATTTCTGACTATCAGACGGCCTCTGGCGTCGGACAACATGCTATTCGCCATTCATCTAGTAGTTCCGCAGACCGTTTCAGACAACAGCAACAGCCAGGACCGTCTCGAGGAGCTACTGCTGTTGGGGAAGTGATGCCACAAGACCGGGCTTCCAACCTTCCTCCTTATGGTGGCTACGGATACACAGAATCACAATCATATAGTGTTTCATCTCTTCAGGGAGGGACTTCGCAGAGTGGTGGGCTGCAGGACCAGCCAAATTTCTCCTCGTTTTCTAGAAGCCAACATCAATATCAGCAACCGCAGAGGTTGTCCCAATATGAGAGCGACATGGCATTCAATATCACCCCGCAAGCTCACCCACATTCACCGTATGGAACCGTGTCACACTATCAACCGCGGAATTCTGCAGCTATCGAAGCGTTGGCAACTCAGTTTAACGTTCCACAATATTTCCAAGCGGAAATGCCGGCAGCTGCAGGAGTACCAAACCAGTACTTAACTGCTGGGCAAATTCATTCTACCTCTTACCCTCAGCCGACTTCCCCCACCCGCGCGACTACAGCAACCACATTACCCGAAATTATGAGTGATTTCCACACTCCATCAGCCACAGAGGCACTCGGTCATCCGGAATTCCCACGCGAATCATCGTCTGGTTTTGATGACGCATATAACCAGTACCAGCATACCTTAAGGCAAACGTTTGCAAGTGTCCAATCTGGAAGACTGATGGAGGCAAGTAATTCGTTATTAGAGATATCAGTGTGGCTCCTGGGAAATGCAATCGAGCTCGGTACGTGTGATCCACACAGTCTAATTTCGTGCGGCACCTTGGTGGTGCAATACCTTTGGGCTAATAGCTGATATCAGGTCTTACCAGCGACGAAGAAGAATTACATTCAGATCGAATCAAACTCTGGAATGAGTTTAATACCTGCTGGCTTGCCGTATGTCAAAAGCAGAAGGATATAACACAGGCTGTGCTCGATTCGGGTATCCCGTCCCAGAACCTTTTAACAGAGGATGTTCTGAACAGGATGGGGAGGGAGTTGGTTCGCATGTGTGATCGATTGGAACAGCATGGCCTTGTTGATTATCAAATGGGTGTGTGGGAGGAAGAAATTTTAAGTGGTGAGAATTTAATCTGCTTTTACTCCTGTTTCCCCCCTTTCTTTAGTTGGTAGGATCCAAGACAATAGTCTTTCAACGCATCTAATATTCTAGTCCTAGTTTTGGGCCAGTGCCTTGACCTCCTTGAAAGGAATGAGAACAACCCTGCAATAGGAATCTCCATCAGGAGGACAACTGCCTCAGAAACTCAACGATGAACGAGCTGATTGCACCCTCTCCCACTGCTCCTGTAACGATCGTGATGCGTTTTATTTTGTGTCCTTTTCGTATTATACAGTACTGCATGGCGATGGCGCATATTCAAGTTCGTTTTCTTTGCTTCTTGATCCCCCGCGGACTGGCCCGCTTGATTTGGTTGGCATAAGAAGCCTACCCTATTCTGTGTCAACCGATTGGTTCTTAACCTGCAGATGCATAACACAAAGTCAAAAGGTTGATCGACAATGATTGTAAATGCTGGGAGTTTGCATCCAGGCCTCTATTGCCGTTGGGTCTTTTTCGCTTGGACTTGACACCACTAGTCAGGACCAACCCTGTCTAGTAATCTACTTCATATTAGCGACTTCTACCCCTTTTATACCTCATATACATCCGCCTCTACGATAATGCGAAAACTGAGTTGCGCTCAAGTGTAATTATCAACGTTGGTGTTTCTATTCCAGATGCATTCCTCCTTGTTGGATTTGTGCAAAATATGTGGCACTGCTTTCATTTCCTACGTCTCTCTTGTTTGTTTTCGGATCAAGGGTTGGGAACTTTTCAAGGACGTTTTACGTTTAGAGGGCTTAAAACCATAGACCGGGCGTGGGAATTGGTGCGAGTTGCAATAATTTGTTTAATATTTGTTCAACTTGACGGTTTTCTTTCCCCTGTCTCGTTTCCCTACAGGTCTTCTGTTCATTATTGGCTATCTTTTCGGGCGTGTTTACATTTTTTTAGCAATAGCTGGTCGGTTGAACAGGGTGTGCCACGCAGAATCTCGACGCATCCACCCATAACCGTTTTTGCTTCCTTGTTCCCCCTCACACTGACTCTCTGGCTAGCTCTTTATATACCCATTTGCCGCGCATCTTGACACCTATGCAATGAACCGAAGTGAATTTTTCGAGTTCTGATTTGAATTTCCTCCTGGCATCCAGTTCGGTTTTCGCGTCCCCATAAGGTCTCCCTGCCCAGACGACTCCAGTGTTGGCCATATGAAATTTAGGGGAAGAAAACCGATTGACGATCTTTACTAAAGCATTAAGCATAAAGTCCGTATCACATGGCCTAACTGGGAGGTGGTGGTGCTTTTGGGCGACCTTTTGTGAGTTAAAAACCAAGCGTTCCAGGCGGGTGAATTGTAGGACAAGCAGAATTTCCTATAGATGGGAGATTGAAGACGATTTGGTCGGACCTCCTTGCCTTTCCGTTATTACTCCCCTTGGAGCCAGTCATGGTTATTCCACTGCGGACTGCTGCATGTATATGTATATGCTGCTCAACATCGCTGTCGGCATATCCACTCACAAGCATTTTCTAATACTGCACTCAGTATGGACAGCCTCTTCCCCTATTTGCCCTGTCCAACCTCAGCATTGGCTATGTATATCAAAGCGCCATCGAGAGCAAACCCGTCTCTCTATCATATCTGCTGTCCCATTTCCACCCACTCATATTGGAATGTTAAACATCCTCCTCCTCCGCGCTGGTCGCTGGCGCAGTTACGTATGTGTGATGGCACAGCATTACATTGCATTGCTTGCTGCATTGTTGACCTTGACATTTGCTATCTTTGAAAGCATTTTCTACACACACATTTGAAACTTCCAATCAAGTGTGGTCATATTGTTCTTTTTCATATTTTTTGTTGTGAATTCATTTTTTCTATTTTCATAAACATGCTCGCACAAGCATGTTCGATACACTGCTTTAACTTAGAATTTGAAACAGAGTCTACAACTCTAGAATTCTATTAGTTACATATGATTAGTCAATCAAGGAGTCATGACATCTTTATCTACTCTGTCTTCTGAACCTATAGGTCTAGGTTTTTGAAACCTCGATATTTCAGCAAATGAAAACTTGTTTTAACATCAGACTGATGCACCTGTAAGTGTTACTGATAATAAGTAGGTATCATACTTATGTCATGACTCATATCTATTTTTGTACATTCTTTGATTTAATATCTTAAGTTTCTCAGAGCAAATGAGAGGATATGCAGATTACTTCTATCATCTCTTTGTGATGAAAAACCTTCTCTTGTTTTCATTCTTGTTTCCCCTATCAAAGTGAGAACCACTCTAAACAAATGAATAGATGTCAATATAGAATTTTGCCAAGGAGCCATCATCATTATCATCATTATCATGGTCATTAATCCAATCAAATTGAAATTTCTTTTTATCCTGTTTCCTATCCATAGCTTTTAATGTGTTAATGGGTTCTGCGGCCCACTTATAGAATGCTGACTTGTGCTTTTTTCCGGCTTGCGGCCGTAGACAATGTATCTGGAAGGTAGAAAAATAGACATGTCAGGGTCTGGGAAAATTGAAACGCATCCTCACAGATTGGAAAGGGGGCAAAATAAGAACGTTCACTCACAGGTCAAATAGTGCATGCATTTTTGGATTGCGGAGATCTTCAACCACGTCGGAGACGAAGGCTTGGATGGCATCGGGGGACCATCCTAATACTCGCGAAAAGAGGGCCATGGAAAATCCCTCCATCCCTTCAATGATCTGGATGAGGTTCCATGTTCCGATAGTTTTCTGCTCAATAATATCAGTGTGTCAGTATGGATATAAAAGTTGCATTTTTGACATTCCCGGAGCACGTGTAGAACTCCATCTTTTTTTTTTGTTTTCCTTTGTGCATCTCTCCTTTTGTCTTATATTTCGCCCATCCATGGATTTGCGGAGGTTATGCCCTTTCCCTTTCCTTCCACGCTGGTCTGTCAAAGAATGGGCAGGGTACGGTAGTGAAAGCTATATGTGTAATTCACGTACCAATTTCGGATCCCTTGGCCATTTTCCAATTGGAACCCGAAGCTTCTTAGTCACAACATCAGTGAAGCCTGCATTGCGCACCCATCCTTCGAGCTTGGGTCCCGGCGCCAGCTCACGGCCATGTGTGTACGCGGCTTCGTGAAATAACTTGAGCCATTTTCCAAGTGCTGAGTCTTGATTGTACGAGTCGTCATCGGAATACCACCTTGCGTCGGAGTCTTGAAACTCAGCCCAGCCTCCCGGCATCAAGTGACTGGAACGAGGAAACATTAGAATGTATGTATGTATGTAAACGCGCACATACGTGGACATGGAGGTTTGGCTACATGTATTAGCGGGGAGAGAGCGGGGTTTACCTGTAACATCTCTCAATCAGCTTTGGCCAATCTCGTATCGAGGCGGTCATGTAGCGGCTATGGATGTAATCAAAATTGTTGATAAATGTCCATTCGCTTTCGACGTCATCGACTTCGAATCTCACGTTGTCTGGAGTAGCATCACTTCACCAAGGGGGATTAGAATTCTAATGAAGAAAAAATAGGGCTTTCCTCGCTTTCTACTTTGTGAGTTCTCTATGTACAGGGGAGGTGGTTACAAACAATGTGTTTCGTATAGGACTTAAGTCGATGCCTAGTATCTAACGATGAGGTGGTTTAGTTGTATAACCTTGATCGACCACAGCTTCTGACGCTCGTTGGTATCCTGTCAACATACCTGTGCTGAAGGATAGTCATCCCCTACAATTTATATTATTAGTATTTCTTCATTCTTCGACGAGCAATAGGGTATTCTGTAGCTCAGTGTTCCTTTTTTTTTTAAAAAAAAAAAAATTACAACAAATCAAACACATACCCATTTGGCAGCACCAAAGGCCGGTCCCGGCACCGATATCGAGGATATTCTGCGGACTTTCGCCAATAGGCGCCAGATGAAGCTGTTCATCACATAGGAGATACATCATATGATGTACAATATCTAATCGATTGTTCTCTTTCTATTAGAACCGGATGGGCTGTCAGATAGAGCAAGACCCATATTCATCAAGTTTGGGAATAAATCCGCAACAGAGTATGCTGGCAGACTCGACTCACCTCATCGTTTGGAAATATGTATGCTATTAAAATAGCCAGAACAGTAAACCAAAATTTAGCACTGTCACACACAGAGATTTTGATAGACCATGATATCATATCCTTAGAGCTGTGCTCACCGCCTTCCCTAAAAGAATGGTATCGTCTTCCTGTTGAGAAATATAATATTAAATCATCATGTCCATATGATGTTGTTTCTGAAAAGCCGGTCCTGTTAGCTTTACAGGCGAAACATACCATTTTCATATGTCTGATTGACAACGGTTGATGCCAAAGATTGTGCAAACGACGAGCTGTTCCAGCATCAGTTAGCCGTGCATCCTGGGAAAATATAAATCGTAATATAGTAGTAATTTTAAGCGGTTTCAACTAACAAGTTGCCATCTTCAAGGTGCTCATAGCTGTTCTCGGACTAAGGACGTGTGTTAGAATGAATGACAATCCAACAAGAATGTATATCCAACACATAGGGCAAAGAGGGGCAGAGGGAATCCACCACACGAACCTCAGAGTCTACCGAAATAGGAGTTGATTCGTTTGCCATCGACATCTGTGTCGCAATTAATATCTTCAAGGTCTTATCACGCTGACGTTCCGCGCTGCCAGCAACAATGACAATAGTGGAAATGGTGATGAATTCCGCATCGAGAAAAGAGAACAATGTTAGATAGTTGCCTTAAAATCACGCCCCGTCACAGAGTCAACCAAGATATAAAAAGAAAAAGAAATGGCGCGAGTGGGGACTGGATAAGAGTTGGGGGAGGGGGAAGTTTATATATAATAGCAAGATTTTTCATCCATGTTGGGCGATTCAAATCTCAGTGGAGAAGCCTGTGACAGCCCAAGCGCTTGTCAGATTTGAGGCTTGGAGCAGACGGCGCCCCATTATGAACAAGATGATGACGAAACGGTTGCTTTCCGTCCATGGATGCGTTCCCATGCTGACTTAACCCCATTTCCTATTGGCAACGCGACGGACTCTCGACTAGTTTTATCATAGTTGGGCATCATCGTGCGCCCACATGCAGTGTATGAGCAAGCTTCATCCATGCTGATGGTCCTCCACCCGGCGGCGGTCCACTGAGTTGGAACCTAGGAGATAACCTCCGGCTAGAGGAAGACTAAAGACCACATGAGCGACCTCACTAGCCAGCTAAGAGGCAGAGGGAAGTGCTAGAAGGATATTTCGATGGGATAGGGATTCCTGGTAAAAAGGTACTCCGTGGTGGGGGTTTAATTATTTTTAGCGGGAGGTATTGATACATTCAAATATCTAGTGGATATATTATCCAAGTTAGACATTCGTTGGCGGGTTGACCCCTGCAACGTCTCATCAAGACCGGACGAGGACATCCACAGGATCGATCTCCATATATCAAGAAGCTCGCGGACAGTTTTCAGACACTCGGTTGAGGCCGATGGAAATACTGCTGCAGACTTGCTGGATAGCGGAATTCGCAGTCTAGCCACCACCATCACCACCAAAGGGGAAAGATATTGTCTGGATGTGAAATATCTAATTTAGATATCTAGCAGATTCCTTTCCAAAGGACACGTTCCTTTAACTGTAAATGTCAGCTCGATTGCACGCCAGGGTTTGAAAGCCCTGGGTGAGCATGGTGGGGTGGTTTGGCCTTTGAGACATGTGGCTAACGATAAAGAGACTTTTTCCCTCTCCGTCTGTCGAATCAACAAGTTCACAAACTCCATCTGGCGAGGGATGTTTACATACTCTGCGATTACGTTGCGGGTTAGCTAGACGTGCAGTAGCACATTGCGCTATAATTAACGACTCCCAGACAGACGGGTCGATATCAGGAGAGAGAGAGAGAGAGAGAAGAACGTTACACGACATCTACCTAATCGCATTCTGCACGTGAAAATAGGCATTTGACTTCTTTAAATGTCTCATTTGAAGAGCTAGCTAGTAAGTTACCGTGGACGTGATAGTTATGTGCTAGAAATTGAGTTTCACAAAGCGGAGAAGGCTGATGGGAACCAGGTTACTGGAAATCTGCCAACATGCTTCAAAGATTAACGTTAACCCTATTCTCTGGTCTCCGGTCTCTGCCAAGATGCTGGGAGAGAAACAAACCCCCCGGCAGGGCGGTTGCGAATAACTACTTAATCCCATATTGACAACTGGACTGGGAAAGGAGATCGAGCTGAGATGAGCAGGAAACAATCTGAAGGTGATAATTACCCATAGATATCGGAACAAAAATATGTCATCACCGTTCGTCGGTACCGTCGGTGAATGGAATCGATTTGACCTGAGATATAGGACCATTGTGGGGACATACGTTGAATTGTGTGTGTTGGGCGCCTTAGCGAACAACACGTGAACGGCCAGTGTATGGAGTATTACGAGATGGATGTCATATGAGCATGCGGGAGCTATCGCATCTTTTTGGTAGATAACATGGTTTTCCCTACAAGTGTTGCAAGCTTCAATGTAGTCGAAAGCTAGATTTAGATCATATGGGTTGTAGTCGCTCCAAGGGTGTGATTCATTTGATAGCCAAGATGTTGACATTTTATTGACCGCCTCTTTAATATCGGAGGGGTAAAGAAAAAAGAGCAGAGGCAGAAACAGTTCCTAAGGGACATTATCAAGAGGAGGAATCGAATAATAACAGAACAGATAATGTGAATTTCAAGATTATGCTCAGAATTGATCTAAATGTGTGATTCACAGAGTTAGCATGAAAAGTAATGGCAGCCTATGTAAGAAAACTTTAACAGACAGGGAAAAAGGGGAAAACAAGGAAATTCATACCCAAAGTCATACTCATGCTGACATCCGTATTTTCTACCATGCGCGTAAATTCCTCAAAGCTAATCTTCCCATCGCCATCCTTATCCGCCTCCATAATCGTCTTATCCACAATCTGCTGAAGTTGCATGTCCTTTAAATTGCTTCCCACCATCATCTTCAGCACGATGAACAGCTCCCCGTTCGAAATGTACCCGTCACGGTCAATATCGTAGACCTTAAAGGCGAAGCGCAGCTTCTCCTCTTTATTTCCTTTAGAACTGAAAGCTGAAAGGCCCGAGACGAATTCTTGGAAGTCGACATCACCGCCACCATCTTCGTCGAAAATCGCAATCATTCTAGTTGTAGGAGGGTAGAGATATGAGTCGTATGTCCATATTTATATGGAGGAGGGGGACGACGGGGACAATACCGTGTCGCAAGTGGGTTTGAAGATACTTGTGGAAGGGAAAGAAACTCATCGCGCTCAATCGTCCCAGAGTTATCCTATAATATATTTGATGGATTTAGCACGTGTACAACTCACTGCGACCGCGAACCCAGTGGGTGCGGAATACGCAGCATATCAACAGTGGTTCTCACCTTATCCAGCTTCATAAATCGTTTCCGTAGTCTGTCGACCTCGTCTCGATTGACTAGATAATACCACATCTGTTAGCTGGGCGTGCCTCCCAAAACACACAACGGGGGGATTTAACGCCAAGGGTAGCGCACAGTTCGAAGCTGATACTATGTTATCTAGAACCTCTGAGCCTGAATTCTGCTGTTTCTGCTGAGCCTCTTGCATGGCTGCATTGGGTTCCGCAGCCATGATAGAAGTGGTTGCCGGGAGGCCGGGGGAAGGAGACGGGGAAAGGGAGTGAAATAGATGGGTGAAAGAAAGCTAAAATCTAAGTCATTGAGTATGATAAGGGGAAGAGGAAAGAGAAGGTATTTATAGTCTTCAATAGCGTTTATATACTGGGGATATTGAATTAATTGGGAGGAGGAGGCGGAAGTAGCTATATGCATTTGATATTGGACAATGTAGACTCCACTTACTGACTACTTAGTTACATTAAACTGCGTCCCAGAACTTGGATTGAGATAACATCGAAGTCACGTTACCCAGAACAAAGTTCCTCAGGGTAATTAATGGCGCTAGTCCATATTAGGAAAACCCACCCAAGGGGCTTTTGATATTGACAATCCCCGCACTAGCCGCATTAGGCAATTTAAGCGGGCCCCTGGGTCCGGCCGATGCCCAAAACAGGCCGGTTGTTAGTGTCAAGCCAACGTCAACTCAAGATATCACCATTTCGTCACGCTTTTGCAAACTCGATTTTCTCTCCCAAACACAGTTCATCCGTGTTAAAAACACATCTACGCGAATTTGCATGATCTGGGCTATCGATTAATGCCCTTATTGGGACGGTTGCTTATGATCGCTAGGGTGCTGCAGCCCCAGAGTTATGTCAAGGCTCGTGGGGATGATGCGGTCAACGCGCCCAAAGAAACTCACCTCCAAACAGCCTATTCCTATATTCCGAGAGGATCAGATTGATGTCATCGAGGATGAGGTCCAAACTACTCTACAATCTATCGAAACCGGAGTGGAGAAGGCTGAGGAGACTGTCCGTCCTTTTTCCCTCCCAAGTTTTTGACGTTGCCTGTTCTCTACATCACGTGACACTGAGATATGAAAATTCCTACAAAACGTCGCGAGAGAATCTGTTGTGCAGAATGCGCTGACCGCCCAATGTTTCTGTTGTAGGAAATCCATCTCCAAGAGGCAATAAATGCTGCTGCTCGTGGCAATGTTGCGCAGGCTCATATCCCTACCCCCGAAACCGTCAAGAGCTCCCTTCAATATGACTCCATATACAAACCTACCTTTTCGCAACCTGCCACGTACATCCGCTTTTCGTCCACCGTGGAGGATTGCAGCGGCTGTAGTTATAATTTAGTGGATGAGGACGATGTCGCTCTTAAGATTTTGAACCAGAAGAAAGATGCGTCCACACAATGTACCGAAGATCAATTCGAAGTGGTCATGGCCTTCTTCGAAGAGACTGCCCAGACCAAGCAACCTTTTGCGGCGGTCGATAGCCCTCCGGTGCTCCCATACTCTGAGATGGAAAATTCCTTTGACGGTCTCGTAGATGAGAGTGTAAGGCAGTTTGCCAATGATATATATGAACACTGGAAGGCCAGGAGAAACAAAACTGGAAACCGCCCGTTACAAACAGGACTTAAAGTGAGTACTCCAACCAGACATAGTGGCAAATATCCAGCACTAACTCGGCGCTTGCAGTTTGAAACCGGCCAGGATACAGACGATGGTGACCCATACGTTTGCTTTCGTAGAAGGGAGGTGCGACAAGTCCGCAAGACCCGTGGTAGAGATGCCCAGAGTGCCGAGAAGCTGCGGAGGCTCAGAAAGGAGCTAGAAGATGCCAGAGAGCTGGTCGCTATGGTGCGCCAACGCGAATTGGCAAGGAGAGAACTGCTTATCGCCGAGCGACAAGTCTTTGTCCAACGGGCTGAAGTAAAAGAGACGAAACGAAAACTGGGCATCAAAGATGACGATGATGACCTCATCAACCAGAAGGTGAGAATGAGAATTATTGTTGGCTTCCAACTTGAATCTCTCTTGCTAACTTATCGTAAAGCCAAAGAAAAAGGTGGCAGAAGTCCCCGCTGGCAACCGACCAGTTGCTCCTCAGCTCCGTATGCCTCCTCGAGCTGGAGGGCCTGGAGAGGACCTGGTATTGTTGGAAGATGTACAGGTAGATAAAGAAAATGAGGTTTTGCGCGAAATCAAACAAAACATTGCGAAGCATGCCAAGTGGAATGAAGGATATGTCGACTGGACGACAGCACCACTTACCCCAACTTCAGAACATAGTTTTGATGCTGAGTTCCGCCCAGCAATCATCACAGAGTATCTTCCGACGCCACCAGCATCGGAGTCCTCTGATAACATGCGAGACGCAGTTGCAGATAGGAACCATTCCGATGCATTAGACAAGCTTGTGAGAACTGTGCGCTATTGTACCCCTTCTGATGAGGAGTCGAGTAGAACCATGCCATCATTCCGGCGGCGAATAGGACGAGGCGGGCGAATGATAATTGACCGTCGCAATCTCCCATTCCGAAATAGGTCAGAGGTTGATCCCATAAAACTCGAGCGTTTCAAGTATGATCTGGAAGACGAGGACGCAAATCCGATATTTGAAAAGGACCAGTTCGACATTCAGATCATGCAGCATCGTGCGTATCTCTCTGCGAAGTCAAGAGATCAAGCAGCAGCGCACGCTCAGCTTCAAGCTCAGGTTCAAGCCCAAAGGCGCCTGCAGGGAGAAGCTGTGGTCACGGCTAGTCCGAACGGTTCCATGAATGGAACAACGAACATCGTGCTCAAGGGACCTTAACCTCGATTCTAGAATTTCTTTGCTGAATCCCTTCTTTATAATGTGTTGCCTTTTAGCATGGACGGCGTTTCGTGATTTGAATGGTTTCTTGAGCGTTTTCTTCTTTGTTTCTTTTTTGTCATATAGTATCTGGCAGAGGAGCAGTCTGTTTTTCTTCTCTTCTCTTTCTCTTTCTTTTATTTATTTAATTTTTCGCTTTTATCACTCTGCCACCTTGCCTTTGAGTAGGTCTCAACAGAGTTTTCTTACCTCAACACACTCTACCCCTATCATCCACACAACAACAAAGCTCTGTTTCAACCTCTATCAACCCCTGGCGAAATGATTGCTTGAACTGAAGTCCAATGCAAGCACCCCCCCTATATAAATTATGTTAAGTGTACATCGTCGCACCAGTCTCGCTGTTTCACCGTGTACTGCAAAGTTGGCAAAACCTTAATATATGGAAAATATCTTAGAAAAAGGCTCAGAATCTTCACCCTCCTGATTTAGTTGCTACCATTTTCTTTTTATCTTTCGTTTTCATACCTTGGTCTCCTGTTTTGCAGAATGCTGCTCATATCTTTCTTCGTTTCTCTCCGAGGCCCGTAGAATGTTCCATGCTCCTTTTCGTGGCAGAATATGAGTCTGAAACTTGACGATGTTGAGCAATGAAGTCTTCAAGCTCGGAAAGAACTGCGTTTAAAATTTCTTTCTCTCCTTTTCGGACTTGCAGCGCCATCTTGAGTCGTCCTGCGGATATTGGGCTTGTAGATCCCTGATAGTTGGCGCATGAAGCTAAGAGCTCCTTGTCTTGGGCGACGGTAGTAGGGTATTCCCCAAGGATTAGTCGCACCACTTCATCAAGCAAAGTGGCCTCCGCAATCCCTAAGGCAGGTTTCGGAACCTTGCTCTTCTGTTTCAGTTGATTGAACTGCTCAAGGGGCATCACTAAGATATTGAGAACGACCAAAAGCTCAGTTGGTAGAGTTTCCGCTAACGGGGTAGACCTGTCGTGTCGCGGGATGCCATAGCCGTCGTCCAACACCTCCAAGTCATCCAAGAATTCCAGCTGCAAGTGAGTCAGCACGATAGCTAAACAAGTTGGGTATGGAAGACACGGACTCGGGGCTCATCTGGGCCTGGGGTAGAAGATTTTAACCCCGCGACCCTGCATATTGTTTGAATCGGAACCTCGGCTTCATCGTATTGAGCGTAACTGTCAGTAACATACCCATATCGTCTCAGAAGTTCGGCGCGAGGTAATTCTCCGTAATCGTTGAATATTTCTTCCCCTTTTCGGATGGATTTTATGGATTTCATAGAAAGATAGCCATCTTCTTGAAATAGACGTGCCTGACGGATAGTTAGCATATGTATTGGATGCGCGATGCTTCAAAAATGTGAATTACTCACGTTATTTCTATCTGCATCCGCATTCAAGAGGTCTGCCAAGGGAATCATTCCTTTGGGTAGCTGCCGCTCCTCGTCATCTGTCACATAACCATCCTCCCCCTCCACTTCTTCAGCTTCGTCATTTTCGACGTCAAAGGCATAAGACATGATCAAAGAACCCATCCGATGAGCAAGAGACAGGAGTGCGGCTTTCCCATCGGGTGAGTTGTAAGACAGCAGGCCACCAGTGAGTGGAAACAGCTCAGAGTTTTTGGAGACGAGAGGAAGAAGATCTCTAAGGAAAACTTCTTCTGCGGTAGATTTCCCGATCCTACCCAAAACGGCACTTCCCTTCAGTTCCAGAAGCTCTGCATCTGTCCAGAACATCAAGGTATCGAAATCTGTGGGTAGGACTTTGAAATATGGCGCCCATGGAGAAGCCGCACCTTGAAGATACTCATATATCATCACAAGAATGAGACAAAGCCACTGACCCAAGTCACGCTCATTTATCTCCATAAGATCTTTCAGTTTCGAGTTCTGGAAACTAAGCACAAGGCCCTGTGGTATGGCAAAAAGCTCCTCCTCTTCATTGATATCGTCATAGGCCACTATGAACCCAAAACATTAGAAAACCCTAGTAAACGATGGAGGGATAAGCAAGTCAACTGATATGGCACAGACATACCAATGCCTCTTCCAGCACCTTCCGATCTAAGATCTGCAATCTTAATCTTTGGGTTCACTCTCACTCCCGGGGACTGCTTCAGCCAGTCCATAAACTCCTCAGAAACCTGCGAGAAAGACTGGACGTCCTCACAATGGTTAAGGTTCGACATTACAATGAAATTCCAGGGGTTAAAAACAGCAGACGGAAAAGACTGTGGTTACTTATACTAAATAAGACGCCCAGACCGGCGAACAGAAGCATTGTAAACAGAATGAACAGAATGAACAACAGGAACAACACGTACTGTGCCACAACGCCAATGTTCGAAAGAATCTCCACTACTTCCAAAAAGCGTAGTTAGCCCGTGTTTCGGATAAACTACCACAGATTATTCCGCTTGATTTCCGAGGGGTGGGCCACGTGATATCAAGCTCAACCAACCGTCCGTCATTGAACCTTGGGAAAACATAAGCTCACAACTCTTCACATTAATCGAATCGCAATCACATGGTAACGGTAACAGTAACGGTAATGGTTGGCATGCTTGTTGATGATATCTGATCTTAGATGAACTTCAGTCTGCCAATATGATTGCCATAGGCTTAGAGGGCTCGGCAAATAAGTTGGGAGTTGGCCTCATTCTCCATCCCGATGACGGCGGCTCCCCGCAGGTTCTCTCAAACGTTCGCCACACCTATGTTTCCCCGCCGGGTGAAGGGTTTCTGCCAAAGGATACGGCGAAACACCATCGTGCATGGGTCGTTAATCTCGTGAAATGCGCCTTAAAGGAAGCTGGGGTTACAGTTAGTGATGTGGACTGTATTTGTTACACGAAGGGTCCAGGAATGGGTGCACCTTTGCAGAGTGTGGCTGTCGCAGCGAGGATGCTGAGCCTATTATGGGGGAAAGAGTTGGTTGGGGTTAATCACTGTGTTGGACGTATGTTTTCTGCTGTTTATGTGTCTATGTGCTTCTTATGCACTGCAATTTCTTGGCCTTTTGACAACTCAACCCCTCGTACTTCAAAACTTGACTTGAAAAACACCACCAATCGTTCTTATTATACCCATCCCTTAGATACTGTAACCTGACTAACAAGATTACAGATATTGAAATGGGGCGCTATATCACTGGGGCACCCAATCCTATCGTCCTCTACGTATCAGGCGGAAATACCCAAGTTATTGCATATAGTTCACAACGATATCGAATATTCGGCGAAACCCTTGACATTGCGGTTGGGAATTGCCTTGATCGTTTTGCTCGTACTCTCCATATCTCTAATGATCCAGCTCCTGGCTACAATATTGAACAGTTGGCAAAGAAAGGGAGAAAATTGGTCGATCTTCCATATGCAGTTAAAGGGATGGATTGCTCTTTCTCCGGGATATTAGCGTCCGTAGATGCATTAGCAGCATCCTTGGGACTTGGTGGGGAGGACCAGGCTAATAGGGATGCGGCTGAGAAAGCAATCAAAGCCATGGATGACGTCACAAATGACGACCTGCCTACTCGTGCAGACCTCTGCTTTTCGCTTCAGGAAACTGTGTTTGCTATGCTTGTTGAAATTACGGAACGCGCCATGGCGCATGTTGGGTCGAAAGAGGTGCTGATCGTGGGAGGCGTGGGCTGTAATGAACGCTTGCAGGAAATGATGGGAATCATGGCCCGAGATCGTGGAGGAAGCGTATATGCGACAGATGAGCGATTCTGCATTGACAACGGCATTATGATTGCACAGGCTGGTTTGTTGGCGTATAAAACCGGATTTCGAACGAAGCTGGAGGAGGCAACCTGCACGCAAAGGTTCAGAACCGACGATGTTTTTGTGAAATGGCGTGATGACTAACGTATCAACTGGCGGCTGCATTAGACATGGAGCATTTGCAATTAGGTGTTGGGAGTTTGTGATGCTTTTTGGATTTCAATACATGTACATACATACACCTCTGGAAATTATGAAATAAGAAATGACCCTTTATGAAGCAGGAACATGGTAAAGGTATTTTATCATTGCTGAGATTAAGCAAACATGTGAGTATCGAATATCAAATAACCTAACAGCATTGGTCGGTTCTGATAACGAAAAAAATCCGTAGTTGTTCCATAGAAATGGTGGTTCTAGAAACGCGAGTCCGAGCTAGGGCGCTCCAAAATCCCGAAAAATTCTCGACCTTGAATAAAAATGAAAGGAAGAATGCATTGTCATCTCGTTTGCATGGATTCCTTACATAGCAGAGCCACTGATTCTAGTCTCGGAGAAAGGGATAATCAAACTCAATCGACAAGGGACGGCGAATGTCCTTTAAACAACCCAGATTAAATTTGGCTGCAGCCAAAATATCCTCACTTTCGAGACTGATTGCTAGATCATTTTGTTCGTCCCGATAGGTGGTTTCGTTGAATGAAGATATATATGAAATCCCTTGAATTATTCTGTTTGGTTATCGAAGCAAGGGGAACAATAACCAACCCCCGGTTTTCTCCACTGGGAACGGTTCAAGCCCCATTCAAAGCCAGGTTCGCAAGTTCAATCGCCTCTATAGCCTGGCATGGTGGAACATGCCACATCTGACAATTGAGACCTCCATCGCTGCTGTATTCCAATTCATCCATCTCATCGCTCATATGTTTATGTTTCAGGAGCTGGAAGAGCATGCGGCATGCGGCCTTCGCCCTTAGGGTCAAGCTTGCGTTATGCTGCCTTCGCCTTATCGAAACACTAAACGCATTGACCAGGAAGTCAGAATCGGTCGCGAACACTAATATTTTCTCGGGTTGTGCTCTTCACTATTTCAATCGCTTTGGAGAGGGCCTCTATGTCTGCGCGAGCCTTGGTCTGCACTACAGTCAGGTGGACAAGTCGCGGAATCATTATATCGTGAATGGGAGCCGAGGCTGCCCGGGCGCTGAGTCGACCATCGTTGTCGCATGCACCGTGAATGTAGGTGACAAGAGTAGATTTGCAAGCTTTGGAGTTTCCGATGTGGCTGGGACGTTGCCCTGTAATTGGAAGTATTCCATTTGTTCGTCGTACGCAACCAGCTGCGGGAATATCGGGCCGTAGAGGGGCTATGGGCGGAAAACGCGGTGGATCTCTTCTTCACCGTGGCCGTCGTAAAATTCCATGCTCTCTAATATCTATGTATATATTGCCCGAAGTATCAGTATTAAGCATGGAGCTGGTAATAAGAAGCGGCTCTAGGATGCCCCTCTCTGTAGAGATCCAGCGATGTCAAGATAAGCGCGGAAGCTTTGCGCTAACTAGCCCAAACCGGGAATGGTCGGCAAAGCCTAATTCTCCACATCTCAAGCACCGAACAGCGGGAGAAAAAAAATTCTGGATAAGTTGATATATATCATTTCTACACCACACCTTCGCAGCCCGGGCAACCAGCCTTGTTTATTCAGTCTGACGTTTTTTGAGGAGTCGAAGCTCTGTCCAGATTAGGACGTGTGAAGACTGTCTCCAAAAACCAACACGCCAGCACCCTATCACAATCTATTAGGTTTGAAAAGAGCCAGACAAGGAGGAAGGGAGTAAACCCTTAGATTCCATTTATCGGGGTCATAATTCTTGTCGGGTAAACTGTTACTATGCCGGCCTCTACGCACTCACAAGATGAATCCATGCCAGATGCGGGCCTACAGTCTCAAGGAGAGCAGGAGCCGGAGTATGAAGACCCTGAAGGGTATGACGCAGATGAGTTCGAGGTGGATGGACGGAGAATAACCATTGTGAGTACTGTTTTTCATGTTACCGTCTCTTCTCCATATCGTTGGGTTCCTATTACGCGAGTTCTCCTGGGTTTTAGAGCCCTTGATATTTTCCTTCATGAGGTTTCCTTCCTGGTCTTAGGTCATCGTCATTTCGCGGCTATTGGATCCGTTCTCTCCACTGTTATCCTCTGTGTTCTATCCCATCTACGACAGACACTCTTTTCTTTTTGTAAAGGGTATTGCTTACACCCTCTATAGCTACCTGGAGCTACTGAAACAGCTGTATCATTTCAATTTGACAGGGAAGATCACACCCTTGGAAACGCATTGAGATATGTGATTATGAAGAAGTGAGTATTTCTATTTTTAACCACATATGTCATTAGGAAGATGTTGGGGCCCTACGTCGAATTCCATCCTCTCAATGAACATGCAACCTAAAGCTGTAGACTGCGTATGACATGTGGTTTGCCAGTTCCTTGACTGGAAGTTCATTGTCCACAACTTCTTTGAGTCAAGCTATCATTGTCCACCGCGATAATACACTATTCGTGCATTTCCACATTTGTGAACTGTTACAGTCCCAAATTTCTAACCTATTCAACCACCATCCGCAGTCCAGAAGTTGAATTCTGCGGCTACACAATGCCACATCCATCAGAAGCTAAAATGAATCTACGTATTCAAACGTATGGTACGTGCAAACCCATTCCATCGCATCCTCCCTCTTTTTCATCCCATGGTTCTAAGCCATTAAACCGATACACCATAAACACGCCAGATCTTCCCTGATACAGTCCTAACATGCAAAAATAGATACAACAACTGCCATTGCTGTTCTAGAAAAGGGATTCGACGACTTGATGGAGCTGTGTGACGTAGTGACAGAGACTTTCACGGAGGCCAAAAATGCCTTTGATGGTAGCAAGGGCCAATAATAGGCAATTGGTGATTATTGATTCTTTTAGGTCTTTTCCCTTTGTTGTTTTGTATATAGAAAAAAAAGAGAGGGAAAGGGAACACACACTTTCTGATTTTCATTATCTTTTCGGCCACCAACACAGGGTATAAGGTGTACTGAGTTTTTTTGGTCTGTTCTGGGACTCATTTGTTCTTTCTAGTTAAATTGGTCTGGAACAAATAGATGGCATATCCATATGTTACACTCAGCGTCTCAATTCGTACGTAACTGTCGATAGGCTTCCAGGATTACAAGACGGGCCGGATATCATGCAGGCATCGTGGAACCAAACATATCAATGTTGCCCGGGACGAGGATATAACCACACACCACGGTCCCACATTTTATCAAGAAAAGGAACAAGTTTCTTTTGCTAAGCTCAGGAACAAATGTACAGATATCTATTGAATTCTCCATGAAGATGGGAAACAACACTGGAAACGAAAGAGGAAAATACACCCGTTAATTCCGGCCCTAAATTTCGATACAAAAAAGGTCTTGTTAGTGAAGGGTACCGATTCATAGGAACGGTATGTCTCTCAAAACGACTCACCTCCAGGAACCTAGACATGAAGTTCTTTGGCAGTTTTGCAGTGGGATCTTCTTCAACGCGGAAATATTTCATGACGTGTGAGAGTTGCTTCCAGTAGTTCAACATTTCCTATAAATACATTCCTCGCCCAGCAGCGGAACTTGAGTATTAGTGATGTGTAATACAATATACAAGAGAGTGACTGCGGCCTAGAATGCTAGTCTAGCCGATTTCCGGGGTGTCATAATCAGAATCCACACCCGTGTCCCTTGAGAACATTCCATTTAAATACGACAACAACAAAAACACCTCCAAACGTACTTGATATTCGCTGTGGCTCTGGAACAATAATACATCGACGACGGGTAATTGGTTCACGTATCGGTGACGTTCGAACTCCTGGCGTATCTTTGTACGGATGGCGGAGACGGGGAGGCTGAGAGAGTACATGCCTTGGATTTCAGGCGACTAGAAACGAAACAGGATCACATTAGCAATTCGTGCGCCATATCACACAGTCCAAGCTGTTTCAAATTGTAGTTGTTGTAGGAATTGCATCGGATATCTCTGATGGGTGGAGGTATATTCGGTTCAATGTGCCGGAAAACCACCACTCTCCGCCAAAGGGAATCTTGCACTAACCGCCCGCAGCCATTCCCGGTAAGATTTCAAAACCCTTCGTCTTGCATCTTGCCAATTGACAGCTATTTCCCTCTTCGTTAGCGGGATTATACAACAGAATAAGGGACCTTGCGGGGCGATATTGCCTGCCCGAGGATAGCGCGGGGTAGGTATAAACATACAGGATCGCGTCCGCTGCGCTAGATAGGTGGGATTGAGCACCATGGTAGGCGATATATACTAATGTGAGCCGGAGGAGGATCGCGGGTGCGATGGATGTGGTGAATTTATCACAGCATCCAGCATAGCTGTGGAGTTAGTACGATGGTTCTGCAACATTATAAGGATAGAGTCTCACCGCCTTTCCGAAAAGAATATTGCCGCTAGTTTTTTACCTCCCCATCAAAACTTGAGCATTGGATATAGAAGAACATTTAAATCTATGGGTATCATAATTTAACTCGAATTCAAGGATACGGATATATATTATGGATTCATAAAATATACAGTATTTGTGTCTCATAGATAACCCTTTTCTGATATCCCCGCCATAACCCATCTCCGCCCCCAGCCAATTCACAATTCTCCGCACTCCTCTCCTCCCTTCCTCTTATATAGTTACCCACCACATAACCCATACTCTTTACAATGGCACCAAACAGAGGCTCCTCATCCAAATCCTCAAATAAATCTTCTTCGGCCTCCAAATCCAAATCCAATTCAAAAACCCTCTCCTCAAGTTCTCGCGTGTCTAAACCCAAATCCAAATCCTCTGCCAACCGTCCCTTACCCAAGGAGGTGAAAGTCAAACCCCGCACGGCGCCGGAGAATCTGAAAAAGAAAAAGAAGAGGATATATACTGAGAAGGAGCTGGATCTGCCGCAATTGAATATGATTACCCCCGTGGGCGTGACGAAGCCGAAAGGTGTGAAGAAGGGGAAGGTTTTTGTGGATGATCAGGTATGCTTTATATGTGGATGTGGATGTGTGGTTGTGGATGAGAATTCGAAATGAGCTAATGCGTGTATAGGAGAGCATGATGACTATTCTCGCCATAGTGAATGCGGAGAAAGAGGGTCAGATTGAGTCGAAGATGATGAAAGCCAGACAGCTGGAGGAGATTCGCGAGGCGAGGAGGAAGGAGGCGGAAGCGAGACAGGCGGCGAAGAAAGAGAAGTTGGCACGTTATCCTCCTTTAATCTTTATTCTATGTTCTCTTTCTTTTCTTTTCTTTTTCTTTTTTGTTTGTTTGTTGGCTATCATTCCTGTCCCAGTGTAAAAGTTCTGACAATCTCCAATAGGAAACTGTGAAAGACTCGCTTCGTAAGAAGAAGCGGCATAACACTGATGGGAGCAGAGAGGATGGGAAGGATGGGAAGAAATCATCTTCGTCATTGGGAGATGCTAAGGGGTCGGGATCGTCCATAACGGGGGCAAAATCGAGCCGGAAACGTGTGGCTTTTGCATAGTTTATGGTATCGCTTATCGATTCGGATCTGAGGCAAGACAGGCTCTTTTCCGTGCATGGGTGTTGTGGAGTGAATAGGGAGAATGATTTACTGAAGGGCTTATACTAATCATGCATGATACCTTTTTCCTTTTTCTTAACAGGGCGATTACGGGGCACCTTGGAGTGGGATTTTAAAGTGCACGATATTCTATTTGATATGTGCTGCACATACATACATGTCTATTCCTTTTTCGTTCACCTGTTGGGCATGGATATTATGGGTTTTTTGCCTACCGGAGTTAAGTGGTATAAATAAAATGAAAAACTGCACGATTTTCTCCATTAGCATTTCCACTATACACTACATATATATCTCATATAGTAGGGGTAATTATTTCTAAAATTCAATGTTTCTTTGACTATGGGAACCTATATATACATACCGCGGAATTAAAAGGACATACGGCCCTGCGAAGCCAATCTATCTAGATACAATATATTTACAAACCATCCATTTATATGCATCGAACCAAACCGTAAACCATGAATGCTCGCAAGAAATAACCATAGCATGGATAATGAAGCCTGCCCAACAAAACCAGCCCCCAGCACAAAAAGAACAAGAATCCCAATTTTTGGACTTACCCTATACAATCCCGAAACGGAGCCAATACATAACATAATTAATTTCTAACCTCAATCGCCGAACTCTTCCCAGAACTCGAATACTGATGATTAATCGGCATCACCAATTTCCGTCGCATAGGCACGAAATTCGGCGTATATCCGATGTGTGAGGCTACCTCTTCCTGACCCTCCCTGTCATCCCTTTCTACCTTGAAAGGTGCATCAAGATCGACCTCCGTGGCCATTTTGGTTAAGAATGTTGTTACCTAAAAAAAAGGGATTCTTTGTTAGAGTTGGGTTATTTGTGGATGTTACCAGTTCCTTGGAGCATGATCACAAAAAAAAAAGGAGGTTCAATTGGGAATAGATATATTCATGGATCCATACAGGCTTCGTAAACCACCTCGTCCCGCCAAACTCGAACCAGGAGAGATGTCCGCCCCAGGATGTCGTGCACATTACGCCGTATGGCGTTTGTTTGATTTCGTTGTATGGTAAGGCTTCTTTGACGGAGATCTATTTCTGGGTGAGTATGGACATGTTACACATACACGAATGTATTTAACTTACAGGGTCATCTTCAGCATGGATCACGAAAAAAGGGACTCTTATGGCGAAGATAGAGTCGATGGAGGAGGCATCGCGATAGTAGGCAGATTCTGTTGGATAGCCCCAGACGGGTCCCTGGAGTTCTCTGTTGGAAATATTAGTATTAGTTCTTCTGGCTTGCTGACTCGCTCTCTATATCCGATATTACAGAAATTGAAAGACATAAAAGGGGGAAGGGGGATTTGGGATATCCACAGACCTATCGAACTCATGAAGATACCTAATCTTTCGGATCCGCTCGACATCAACGCGTGGATGCTTGGAGATTATATCCACATGTCTATCATTCAAGTCGGCGCCGTTAGTCTCTTCTTCCTCTTGTCTTTCTATGGCGTGTGCCATTTTGGAGTCACCATCCATTAGGTACGATATCAAGAAAGATGAAAAGCTCACTGCTCAAAAAGCTTCTTCATATTACTTCCCATAGTCTTCGAATACAGTTCCAATCCAAGCCAAGAGCGCTGGAGCGCCAACGCGCTGACTTCCAGATTCCACGGGTTGGAGCAGATGACGCCAGCTGAGAGGGGACAGGATGCACCCTCTTCACCGAGATACTACAGAGGAGAAATAAAATTGTCAGAATAAATCTCATTCCAACACTCATTCTCCCATACTAACCTCCATTCCCCCCAACCGGGAAACATTTTCCAAGAAAGAAAAAACCTTACATTTGTCAAGATATTCGCCCCCAACGAAAACCCAATCCCAAACAACCTCCGCTTTGGAAACGCTTCCCTCACCCAATTCACAATCTGCCTAACATCCCACGTCGCGCGGGCATTATATAGCATCGGGCTCGTCACTCGCGACTTGGCACAGCCGCGGAAATTCAACACGCAGGCTGCCCATCCGGCCTCCAGCAGCGGAGCAATCACATGCCGCAGGTAGTTCTCATGGGAACCCCCTGAGAGCCCGTGCAGGACAACGAGCATGGGTTTCGTGTCTGTGATAGACGGATAGGCGGCGAATTCTTCCGGTGTGAAGAAAGACGTGCGGGGTGGGAGAAGGTGGGGCGGCGGCATACTATCCTTTGGCGTCTTGTTAATTATCGCCTGTGTACCGGAGCTTGTATCCTCCTTCAGTGGGGTTTCGTAGGGCGGAATGACGAAGTCGACATCGAAGCTGCCACTATAAGCCGGGTCGTTGGCCTGGAAGGTCCAGCGCTTGTAGTAAACGGGAACATCATCATTTTTTATGGCTGTGTATGTGGTTTGGAGGTGGCCGTTGAACAGAAGAGGGTTTAGTTGGCATTTCTGGGGCGTGGAGGATTTACACAAGTCTGGAAGGGAGATGTATTGTTCCTCTTCAGCTTGTTCTTTTAGTGATGCTACAGAGGTGGGCGGAGAGATCGAGGATTTGCGAGCTAAGTGGAGGGCTTTAGGGGCATGGTGGAAGAAGACCTTTCCGCTCGGGAGGATGGCGGAGAGATAGCCCATTTGGCAGCGGGGGGATATATATGTTGGGCGGAGGTAACTCTGGAGTCGGCTTTTCCCCAGATTTTCCCACTGCAATACAAATCTAAACGCGGACTGCCCTACGCAGGTGATTCGGGGAGAGATACTATTGATTTAAAATGCATTAATACAGTATCAGAAAAAATGGCAGGGGGGGGGGAAACTCAAACTAATAAATAGCTTTGTGGTATAAAAAGCCAAAAGACAATCCGGAGACGGGAATTGTAGACTCCGGAATTGCATCACGTGATACCGCTATGATCGTAGTTATCATGGGACGAAGACAAAATACTTTGTCTGTCCTTTTATTTTCGGGTCATTTGGCGCTGCTAGTGCCGACTTCCTGTCTCAGAGAACGATTGCTTTTCGTATTTGCGGCATGGCGGACATGATAATCGCTGCCTCGGACGCAGCTAGCTGCCGGCTGGAAAGCTTGATATGACCATGATTCGCCTGTGGAGCAGCAAAGAGTCACCCGGCATATGCAACTATGCGCAGTGACAGAATTGCCAAGCGTGGTATCATTTGCCAGATTTCCCGTGCTAAATAGTAAGATAGATCTGGGAGGAGATTTCATTTGTGCCCGCCCTGGTCATCGGGAATATTCTAGGATGTGGTGTTTTGGAGTGGTGACGGAAAAATGAACCTTGGCTTGGAGCTTTGGGCTTGAGTTTTGTGTTTTCGTTTCGTATTTGGGGGTTGGCGGTGCGAGGAGAGGAGAATTTAGGTGATGGTGAAATAGTAGATCCATAGTTATTATACTGTATTTGGTAGCGAATACGGATCGAGTTGTGTTCGCACGACATAAAGTTCTGCACATGGAATGAATATAAATGGGAGTATGATGGAGAATAGAACAAAAAGGGGGTGTCTTTTGTTTGCCCACGCGCTTAATGGGAGGATAGGATGTATATCTATGCGCGGCGAAAATGATACATTGAACGATCACATTGAAAGAGCTGTCTGAAAGCACACCAGAAGAAATGGGCCACTGCAAGAAAGGAGAGGGGAAGGAAGAAAAAAATAAAAAATAACAGTGAATGGAAAAGGGGAATAAATCGAAAAAAGGAGGGGATATGAAATGGTTTGGAAATTCGACATGGAAAATTCATGGTCCAATTCGTCTCATATCCCCCGCTTGTCATCCGCTGTTGTTCTCGTGCATCATAATCATCATCACCATCATTAAAAAATTGCATTTCGATTATCCAATTGTCACCCTTGACCCAAATACAAAGGAAAGAGACGATGCATGTACGATGCGCGGCACGTCGTGGCTTGAGAGTATCGAAGACAAAATGGAACTGGTTTGCAGGGTAATCGTAACAACGCATTGCATAGAATCACTGGATTTGACGATAGGAAACAAAAGATGAAAATTAAAACATAAGCATGAAGCGTGATATATGAAGCGTGATGGGACCAGAACCATGGGATATATATATAGGTATTTAAGAGTAAAAAGGGAACAGGGAAAAAGCACTGAGGCTCTCCTTCCCCCAAGATGAATCACAGAAGTGGCCAACAGATACAATGATATATTCAGTCGCGAGCCGATATCATACAAGGCACCCGTGAATGCCATATTCGTCGTTGCTTAGGCGCATTGGCAATAAACACACCGTCAAAATGAGGATGCACATCAGCACCAGCCCCAGAACCCTCCTCCGACATATCTGTCCCCTCCGCAGTCGGTGCCACAGCCCCCTTTTCCGATACCGGAGCATACGGTTTCAAAAGTCGCACCTCCTCAACGCTGGCTGAAATTTCATATTCGCCGCGACACAGCGCCGTGATGCCTAGTGTTACCTCCGTCGTCTTGTGCGGTTCGAGAACTGGGAGAGGACGATGGAGCATTCCCGACCAAGCTAGACGCTTGGATAAGTCCAGAGCGATGGCATGGGGCAGATGGCGCAGGCTGGGTTGAAGACGGAGGAGCGGATGAATGGGTTTCGATGATCGGTTTATAACCGTTGCGGAGAGGGTAAGGAAGGTATTGGTTTTAACGACGAATTTGGATTTGCCTGTTTGAGCGACGTGGCTGTCACTGTCACTGTCATTGGTATGATCGCTACTAGGACATGTACTGGCCCCCGACGCATACGGACGGAGGGAGAAAGTGACATCGACATTATCAATCCGGAGAGCATCGAGCATCCGTGCATTCAGCCGTATTCCCCGCAGGTCAATAGTGCCTTCGCGACCTGTTGCTAACTCTGTCCATGACCCACGAAGACGCTTGAGAAGTTCCTCTCGAAACCAGAAGACTTCTCTAGCAGAAGATTCAACCTCGTAGTTGAATTTATTTGCACTGACGACAAACTGCCGTTTGTTGCCTATGTTGAGCGATGGGATGGGTTTTTGCGGGTTCACTATGTGGATGCGCGGCACGACAAGGACAAATCGGGACAGATGGCCGGGCTGGAGTTCATCATATATTTCGTGGACGCCGATTGCGCCGGTTTCCAAAATGTTATTGGTTTCGCTGTCTGAGGTGCTTTCGTTTACGTACAAAGAGACGGATAGGGGATTTGGCCACGTATTACGTAAATCCATAAGTAAGAGGCAATGATCCGAACTCTGCGATGCTAAGCGAAGCTGTGATAATGTCCGCGAATACTGGGCATCCTTAAACTGCGAAATGGATCGTGGTGTTAATGGTGACGATGTTTGTTCAACTGATTTAATTGATTTCTCATCGTTGTTTGTGCCGCCCGAATCTTTTTCTTTCTGCAGTTTATTGTTCCATGCGAAATCTCCGGTGAATGGAAGTAGGTCACACCGTACAATATCCACAGTAGCATTGACTGTCACGGTCAAGGGCAAGGAAATTTGCCTGCAGTAAAATGTCTCGGGGAGATTTGATGGAGAAGCGCAAACGTGCGCATAGTCGATTTGGACCACGGCATCCTGTAGTCCTGCCTTCCCAAATACATCAACGGTGAATGTTGTGGTTTTCCCCGGAGCGATCGAGAGCTCACTTTGGTTGAGTTCATTCCGCCTCCATGTCAATGTTGGGTTTGTAGAGAGCTTTAACTCTAACTCGAATATATCAGCGGGGAGGTTGTCTTTGTTGTTAAGCGCTGATTGCAATTGTCGGGATGTGGAGTCTTCAAAGCGAAACGAAATAAAATCCACTGGGCAAGTCGACACGTTTTGGAGCGTGATATCAAACGATTTAGTCTCGCCCTCTAGAACCATGATCGCTGATTGTGAAAGCGATGTCGACTGGATGATCAATGTTGGCTGTTTCTTGATAACCTTGGCAACCATAACATCTGGCTCAAGACCTCTCGGGATTACATCTGAGCCTGTCTCTGAGGCATTTGAGCTCCAGGATAACGGTCGCTCAAAAAATGGCTTCACTGCCGCTAGACCCGTTCGTTTGGCCTTGGTTTCAAACTCTGGTTTCCAGAATTTTTTAAAGATAGGAAACCTCCTTTCCCGACAGAATTTTACCTTCACTGAACATGCCGCAATCTCAAGCGTCCCTTCTGTGGTTGCAACACCGGAAAAGCAGTGTTCCTGAATAGTAAATGGTGCAAGCCAGAGCCCCTTGGTATCTGCTTCGAAGGAAACCCCAGTCCCCTCTATCCGTAAACTTTCAATTTCCACATCAAATTCAAAAGGATTTTGGAGAGTGACTTTGAACATGGCTGGCTCTTCAGCAATCAACAAACATTCTGAACGTCTTGTCGTTGTCTTTGAGAATGCGCTATATATAAACGGATTTTTTTCTGCGCGGCTCTCCTCTATATTAGAAAAACCGAAATCGGTTCTCGATCGTCTGACAGGTTCCTTGAAGTCAGCTAGATTGACAAGTTCCACACCGCGCACTAAGAAATCATCCCAATATTCGGCTTCTAAATTCGGAATCCCAAGTTTTCTTGCAGCGGCAACAGTTCGCTTGACGTTGTTAAATAACCGCACTTGTTCTTCAGGAGGTAAGCTCGGAACTCCGTGATAACTGTCTGGAACAAGCATATGTGTTCCTTTGATTGTTTGAAGCAAGTCGACTGTAAACTGAAGTACGCCTTTAAAGTCAGGAAGCGCTTCGCAGAAATTAATGCACGCCTTCAGTATGTCGACTTTCAGCGCATGATTGCCGAACCCATCAATTGTTGAATGGCGTAACGCCCTGTTAACTATTGAACCGACGGAATCGTAGTCCGCTACACTCTCACAGCTATCCGCTGAGCAACGCTTTGAAACATCCCTTTCGTCAGCGAAGACCGTTGTACTTGGGACACCGTATATTTTCCCAACATAAGCCAATAATTGCCTCAGGCTCCCATTCATATCTCCCGGCACAACATCCAATGCATTTATGTCGAAAGCGGCGTAGTTCAAAGCTGATAAGCCAGCAGCGGGGTGAATACCAACTTCCGCAGCGCCAATTTTCCGAGCTTGTACCAACCCTGGAATTAGAACAGAAAACAGTTGGTTTAGTACGAACGCCTTTTTCCGGTCTAACCCCAGCGTCCATAGAGTGGACGCCATGCCAACTAAAATTGGGGAGGAATCGGTAACAGGAAGATCGGAACCTAGAGATGGGGGTAAAGCTCGGAATAGAAAGCTTGCTATATCCGTTTTGCTAAGTGAAAGGGAACCTCGAGGGCGTTCGGGAGAGCGGAGAAATTGTAAGGGGTCGTTCATTACAATATTCCCCAGAGCGTTGTCGTCAAGTGAACCGTCACGAAGGTAAGTGGCTGCGAGAACACGTGCAAGCCTTATCACGGTTTCCGAAAATACAAGTTGTGGTGCAGGCTCGTCTGTAATATTTGCTGCTCTTGTGTAGAGATGTAGGATGTTATTTGAGAGATCGGGAAGAAGATTTGCCAGATTCTGGAGTGAAACTACGCGGCTTTCGGGATTTGATTGTCCGATGCTATAAAGTTCCGTTTGACTCATCGTAGGTGTTTGAGAAGCAGATTTTAATAAGAGTTTATCAGCAGTTGGATAGCAAATTTGGGGTATCTGCAAAGTTTTAACCCTTTGTTAGCTGATATTGTCGCTAGCCTACCGGCATAGATTCCCGGAGACTTCCGTCTGAAAATATTTATCATACCTTGAAATCCATCCCTGCCCATCCAAGCATGAGCAGACACTGTAAAATCGACTCGAGGGCTTTTGCATGCCAAATGTAATCGCTACCTGCTCTCGCTATTGATGCGCCTTCAACAAGCTCCTTCAGGGAATCAGGCCATAGACCAGCCTGGAGAAACAATGTGCCCGCTACTATGCTCAAACGGCCTTTTAATCGACTTTTGGTTCTCTCATTTGCGCCCATGAACCCAATCCCCTGGACTGACATTCTCTCACGGCTGTGTTCCTTTGAACCGGGCTTCGAAGCTGTCTTGATAGATGAAGATATCCGGTTGGAAAGTTGGATGGATCTAGTGATTTCGTCAAAGGTGATCGGAGAATCGTGTTCTGCTGGCTGAGAATTTGCATCAGAGAAATGGGAGAATGTTCCATTGGCTCCTGGTAGCTGTGCGGGCATAGTCATTCTCTGTTGAAGTTTATCAGGGGACCCTGGATGAGCTTCTGGAGTTCGACGTGGGCCCCAAGAAGACGCCTTGGGGGATTCAACGGTAGGCCATTCCTGCATACGTTCTACGAATCCGGATAGTTCTCCAAGTATCCGCGAAGTTATATCACACATCACCGTCTTAACCGTCGTTGACGTTGCAACTTCCGGACGTGGAATCCACACCACTGCTTCGGGGCCCGTAATGAGTTTTTCCACACCGCCATAATCGAATATTAATAGTTGTTGAACTAGGGATCTGGGATGGCTGTCCTTGAGTGCATGTACCTCCTGCTGGAGCTCTTCAAGACCCTCCACTTCGGGATACTTAGTTTTCTTAGTTCCATAAGTGGTTGCCTGTGATGATATCTGCGTCCCATCGGTTGAGCCAGGTAGCTCTATACCGTCTGCAATGGCTATTATGACAAGGGATTCTCTGAATATTTCAAAGGGGAAAAGGTCAAGGTGTGATATCGGAGGAACTGATATAGATAGGTCGTAAACAATCATGCCCGTAGGAAAGGCCAAAGGGGAGAAGGAATCTGCATTGCAGCAGTTATTAGCAAAGATTTTATCAGGGCAAACGAATGCAACCAAAAAGTAAAAACTGAATAGCAGCAGCGCATACTTCTATTCGGGCGGCCATTCGCATCGGGGCTAACATCGCTGAGACGCACGACATTGTTTGCCCGGAGTCGCTCAACCAAGCTCAGAAAACGGGATCTCTTTATCTTTCCAACAGGGAGCAGCAGAGCACGTAGACGGGCCGGCGCGACAGGAGAAAGGGGGTCTACTGCCATGCTGACATCTGGAATAAAGAGCGGCGCGGGCAGTCAGTGATGCGCACAAGACCGCTTCCAAGCTACAAGTCATAGATGGTGCGCGGCGACATTTGCGATGAACAGAAAGTATAGAGTAGGATCTAGAGTCGCCAGCTGGATGAAATATGCAATAAAACAGGATATCGAAGCCAGATAAGACCCCTTATTTATTCTCATCCACTGTTTCTTATTGCATTGAGTTGACTGTCGTTTTTTGTCTTCGATTCTCTTTGGTGGTTTCAAGTTGGATGCGGCCTATGTTATTATGATATACCGTACAAGCAACCACGTGATATACTGCTAGCTGCACAGACCAATACCGCAGCCTCATTGGTATAGCTACGGGAATACATCTAATTATATCAGTCACGAACAACTTCTTCTAAAATCTTTCAGCTTCTGTGACTTATTTCTGTACAATAGACTCGTTGGAAGAGAACGCAGAGGGGGCATATACAGGAGTTCTCTTTTGGTTTTGTATTGTACCTTAATTTTGGGAGTTTCTCTTCTCTGGCACCTGTCATATCCATAACTCGACCCGTTTGCCTATCCGGAAATCAACGTCATTCGTCCATAGTTACTAGTTACACTACCCACGCCCGGCACCCGTGGATATATCAACGTCTATACCGACCCCCTGTTTGCCAGACCCACAAGTCCAAGACGACCTTAAGCTGTACCTGAATTTTGCCAATGCAAAGATTACACTTGAGGACTTCCTCTGCCATTTATAATCTGATTCCGCGGCCTCGTTCGTCATGACCGCCATCGACTTTAACGCCCTCAAAGCACGGACTTTGGGCTCCGGAAATGACGAGGAGGCTGTGACTGTCAACACCCGTGCCTTGATAGATAAGGTGTTGGCACGGTATTCTGGAGAATGGTAGGCCTAATCTCATGCCCTAACCACTCTTGCGTCTTTCCCTTGAAATGTATTGTGCTAAAGGGACTCCGTTCTGCAGGACCGTACTTAGAGAGCTACTTCAGAACGCAGCTGACGCCAGTGCAACAAATGTCACTATCAAATTCGAAACACTTCCCTCTACAAGTGTCCCCGCTCCTACTCAACTAGATCCATCAGCTTCTATAAAGCATGTGATTGCTCACCACACCCTCAAGCGTCTAATACTCACAAACAATGGGACTCCGTTCTCCCCGAATGACTGGGCTAGGCTCAAGCGGATCGCCGAGGGAAATCCCGACGAAACCAAGATAGGAGCATTCGGAGTCGGGTTTTACAGTGTATTTTCTGATTGCGAGGAGCCCTTTGTGTCATCTGGCTCAGAAGCTATTGCTTTCTATTGGAAGGAGAATGCCTTGTTCACCCGACGGCTAAAATTAGATGAATCGGATTCCAGCTCAAATACGAACTTCGTTCTGGATTACCGGAATACTACAACTCCAATCCCAGCCCTCATGCCACTATGTCAGTTTCTCGCCAGTGCCCTAACGTTCGTCGGGCTAGAATCTGTCGAGCTTTGGCTGGATGGTTGGAAACTCCTCCATCTTCGCAAGAAGGTTGCGCCAAGTGTCAGCATAGAAATACCTAAAAATGTGGAGACCAGAACTTCTGAAGGCCTCATGAAAGTATCCAATGTGATACGGGAGGTTGCCCAGATGGATGCTACTTTGATGGAGGCAGTGTCTTGGAAATCCCCGGCTAACACCTCCCGTTTCGACAGCTCGCGAAACCACGATCCTACAGCGTCGTTGAAATCGTTCTTCTCCCGTTTAACAGGCTCCTCTTCCAGTAGCCACTCTGCTAAACCCTCCAACTCCGATAAAGCAGATCCCCAAAAAGCCAAGGAAGACCTTGCCATCACCAAAACATCGTTTGTATTCCTTCACATCAGCACCGCCACTATTAAGACATTCGCTAGCCAATCGTTTAGCAACGAACTAGAGCGTGCGACAAAGAAACCCCCACCTAAATCAACGACACTAGCGATTTTAACGTCGTCCTACGATTTAGCGGAAGCTTCGAAGAATGAAGCTTCGAAGGACGCTGATATTTTTGCCTCCGTTCTACCTTCGCGGTCTGGTAGAATCTTCATTGGCTTTCCGACACACCAGACTACAGGCCTAAATGCTCATATCTCTGCGCCATCTGTTATTCCAACCGTTGAGAGAGAAAGTATTGATCTAAATGCTCGATGGGTTCGCACCTGGAATCTGGAGCTGTTGAGAGCAGCAGGGATTGTGTGTAGGATTGCTTTTTCTGCAGAAATGCTGTCGCTTAACAATCGCATCCAGTCCGGAGTGAGCAACTCTGGTCGATCAAAGATTCGGAAAGAGGATATTGCGGGAGTGTTGCCGGAAGCAGTACATACTGTCAACCAGTTTGTGTTCCGTGAATCGACTCCAATATCGCATGTCGGACAGGCAATTGAAGATTCGTTTTGGACGTGTAGCAAATACGCAACAATTGAGGTATTGTCGACTTGTGGGATTCTCCCATGTCACAATGTGCGAGTTGCGCCCAAAGATCTCAGTTTTATGGACTCTATACCGGCAATACCAGAGGAGCTAATGACTGGCTCCAGGGACTTCGTGAAGCGCTTGACGGATTTCGGCCTTGTTACTGACATCACTGTGTCGGATATTATGGAGGAACTGGAGTCAAGTCCCTTAACTTCAAAACAACTTGAAGAGCTTTTATCATGGGTGACCAAGAAAGCTGTTGCTGGTGACATCGATATTTCAGTGGTTCGAGGGTTACTACGAGCGGCAGTGGCTAATGACGAAGGGCCCGACGGTACCCCATCCCGCGTTATTGTTCTCAGTGATGTAAACAGTTTCATCAATCCTAATAAGATCCCTGTGGAATTGCCAATACCGCCGTTCGTCATGCCTTTCAGATACACCAAGAATTTGTCTAGGAGTTCTCTGGAGTCCCTGGGCTGGCATGAGCTGCAAATTGATGCCTGGATTACGTGGCTTGTGCAGAATGCGAAAAATAGAGGTTCACTTCCTCCTGAACAGGATATCACACAGACGTTATCGTTTGCTGCGCATGTACTGCCCGTTCTGTCTAAACAATGGGATAGTTTTGGTGTACCTACAAAGACTACAATTGTTGAACTGCTGCGGAATAGTACTGTCATTCCCACAAAGTCCGGAATGAGAAAACCTCCTGAGACTTATTTCCCGAGTGTCCGGCTATTTGACGATCTTCCCGTTGTCACAGGCCTCAACAACGTCAAAGAGAAATTCCTTGCTTCCCTTGGCGTTCGAAAGACTGTTGAGCTCAACGTCATTTTTGAGCGGCTCTTGAATAGTTCTGAGGATTCAGTCGACGAGAAAGGGGCTCCTAAGAAGAAATGGAGTCATGTTGATCTGATCAAGTATCTGGCTTCTGTTCAATCCGATATCCCACGGGAAGACATTCAAAAACTAAAGCAGGCAAATATATGCACCGCTGAAGCCAGTTCGCGCTCCAAAACTGAGGTTGTTCGATATAAAGTTTCCGACCTTTTCGTGCCAGATGAGTCACTTAGGGACCTCGAATTACCACTTCTCTACTGGCCGGGAAGATATTACCCGACGGGCCCGGAAGGACGGTTTTTAACCTTGTTGGGACTCAAGAGCTTCCCGTCAGCAATGGAGTTAATACAGCTTATAGCATGGGCAGCATCAGTGGACAACACCAAACTTAGAGACAAGGCGATGACCTATTTTATCACAAACCATGTCGCACATAAATATGCTGAGTTTGACTCGTCCAAGGTCAACATACCTTATCTTCCAATTGAAGGGCAAAACAAGCTAAGCACACCGAGTCATTGTTTTACTGACAATGGAGCTACTTTATTCGGGTTTGATCTTCTGAGAAAGGACCTCCATCCCCACGCATTGAAGTTTGGCGTCAGTCAGCACCCTTCTCTCAAAGAGTGCCTGAAGCTCCTTGTTGCGAAACCTCCTTCATCGAAAAAGGAAGCCCAGACTTTATTTGAGTATTTTGCAAGACGACTAGGGGAGATCAATACGGCGACTGCAGAACGCATCGGTCAGACACGTATAGTCCCCGTTATCCGGAACGCTTCTTCGTCCGAGAAATCTTCTTCAGTTGATTATATCACGCCGCGTGAATGTTATCTGGGCGAGAGTGAGGATTATGGGAATATCTTTGACTTTGTTGACTTTGGACAAGAAGCAAATCGGTTTCTAGAATCGTGCGGTGCAAAACGAGAACCGACCAAGGTTGAAGTTGCAAGGATGTTAGTCAAGGAGCCTGCCAGAATATCGTCTAAGCTTCAAAGCCCGGACAAATACCTCAATCTATTGCGTAGTCTTGCTGAGAGCATTCCACAGTTGAGGAAGCACAGGGATTTATTCAAGGAGATGAAAGCTGCGCCCTTTCTTCTTGCGAGTAAGGAATTGCCCTCGAAGCCCGCGCCACCCAAGACCGACGAACAGTTGCTCGAGATGGACGACGAAACCTACGAAGATGAAACGCAAGGCATAAAAGAGTGGCAGCTGGCGAAAGCTCGCGATGCTATTATTGTCGACGACTATGCCAGTTTTAGTTTGTTTAAGCAAAATATTCTGGCTGCTCCTCAAGAAGAGTTGCTTGAAGATTTATATGTAGCCCTCGGCACTCCGTGCCTGAGTGAACTTGTGGAGGAGCAGGCGCGTTGTGGCGCTTTGGCATCTGACCAGCGCCTCGCCACGAAATTGCAAAAACAAATCTATGAGCGGTCGCGATTGTTTCTCCATGACATGCCCCGCGAGATGATTAAGCACGATACGAAGTGGTTGGAGAAGCATTTGTCAGTTCAAGTGGTGCAATCTATCTCCCTGAGACGGCTGCTGAAAGGGCGAAATGCGTCGCATGTTGAAAAGAGAAGCGCAGTTGTGATGCCATCCCGGGGTTCTTGGGTGTTGTCGATCTGTGCCGGCCATCCGGACTTGTACCAAATTAGCCAGGCGCTCGTCCATCTTATTCTCAACAGACCGAAGCTGCATTCAACCCTCACGCTGGAGATGCTGCTTAAAACGGACCTTCTTGAGCTACGTGCCCGAGGCTACAATGTCGAGCGTATCTTGCGGCAGAAGGCTGCTGAGGCTAGGATGGCAGAAAGCAAGCGTCAGCAACAGCTAGAAGAGGAGTTGAAACAAATCCAAGAGAAAGAAGTTGCTTGGAGAAAGGAGCAGCAATCTGAACCCGATGATCGTGGGAAACAGCTATCGATGCCGGGAGTTTTCCCGGAGTTGTCCCCTCCCCATACGAGATCAAGCACTGATGAAACCTCTTCGGAAGTAGCATCTACACGAGCTAGGAGCGGCGGCCTGTTCTCTGATCTCACTCGACGCTTTGGGTTGGAGGATTACACGCGATCAAACAACCCCATACAATCTGCCATACAAGGGATCCGCGACAGGGCACAACAACCCTTGGGGCCCCTGCCCACGTCTTCCGACTTTCCTCCGCCACTTTACACCGCTAACGAAGCCGGTTCGACGAGGGAATCCAAACCCCAAACCATAACCTCCCCTCACGCACTCCAATCAAACCTGATGTCAGCCATCCAAGCATGCCGACCGCACGGCTCATCAACCCTCTACAGCCGTGGCGAACGGAACAAAGTAATGGAGACGAAATCATACTGCGACGAGCGGCCCTGCCACGACCTCGTATTCGCCGCAGACACCAACTCTGGCATCCGGATTTTCGTCACTAAAACTGTCGCAGATCGATCCGCGTTTTTGTTGGAGAATTCAGTCAGTCTCAACGCCTTTGCGTCGATATTGACGGATTGTGCCAGCTTGTTTGCCCTCCAGCTGAACAGTGTTAGCATCTTCTATGATCCGGCCGGCAAGACCATTGCGTTCAACAGCCAGGGTAGCATCTTTTGCAATTATCTCTTCTTCCAGCAGCTGCACCAGCCGCAGATGGCTCAGGGCGGGGTGAATTGTCGCGACGAGCCGTTGGTGTATTGGTGGGTTATCTTTTGCCATGAGCTGGCGCATAACTTAGTTGCGGACCATAGCTCGGACCATAGTTTTTACACGTATGTAATGTCTATCCTGTTTTGCTTTTTCTTTCTATTTACGTCTCCTGTGCTAACTCCTTCCGTCCCGGTCACCAGCGAGGGCTTTGTTACCCAGTACTTCCCCAGAGTTGCGCGGAAGATGGCTGAGTATGCAGCAGTGCCAGGGGCAGCGTCGACTCCATCTCCCGGACTTTCATCTCCTCCCCCGAACTGATAGCGTTCGACTATCCTATTTACTCCTCTAGTTAGTAGCATGGATATCCTGGATTGGATATTTTGTTTCGAAGAAACATTTTCCACAAAATCACATTGGAGACAGATTTTATTTTATTTTATTTTATTTTATTTTATTTTTTATTTTTTATTATTTATTATTATTTATTATTTATTATTTTTTATTATTTATTATTTTTATTTTTTATTTTTTATTTAAATTGTTTTTGTTGAAGTTTATTTTTATTTTTATTTTTATTTTTTCCTTTTTTTCTTTTTAGCCCTACAAGGGTGTTGAACGGGTTTGTACGGGGGGGGGGGGGGGGGGGATTCTGGGTTAGAGCCATGACGGGATATGATGAATGGACTTACTTGTATCCAATGATAGAGGGACCTGCAGCAAGGTGCCCAACAACCTAATAACAAGCGGATAGAGAATATAGTTGTTTGTCGGTTAAACGCAGGAGGCAACCTACCTCAGGGGTTTAAACTTAAGATAAATCACCTGACTCATGCGTTTTCTGGCCCAAATGAAGCAGATGTTCAACAGCCCTTGCCGCGTGCTGTTGGATGTCAGCGAATAATAAGACCCGACTAAAACATCCATCATCCCATAATTAAACCAAACCAACCTGCCCTGCTTCAAATTCAACTTCCCAACTCCCGTGTCCATGTTGGGGCAGCAGACAGAGATTCCTACAGAGAGAGCGAGCAGCCAATGTGTCGGCAGTTTCCCGCGCCGTGACGTTTTTATACTTTCCCCTCACCGTCTCTCCGAGCCCACACAAAAGCTTAAACCATTGTAGTGTTGTTGGTTTTAGTCATGGCGAATTAGGTTTCACCCGGTCGGGGAACCTTTTTTTTTTTTTTTTTTTTTTTGTTTCCCCTCCTCTTCCTTCCTTTCCCCCCCCCCCCCCCCCCCCCCTCCTTTCAACCCAACCAAAGGGCAAAACAATGAAAATGAATGAATGAACTTCATCGTCAACTTCCCTCGCTTCGGTCAACTCGACAGCGCTGGGGGAGGGTTTACAATTTGAAAATTTGATACCGTTTTAATAACCACACCCCCCCCCCCCCCCCCCCCCCCCCCCCCCCCTCTCCCTTTTTCTTTTCCTTTTTTTTTTTTTTGGCTCTCCTTTGGGGGTTGGGGCTTCTCCGTCCTTTTTGCCAAAAGTCTTACAGTTATCCGCCGAACGTTGTGAGGGGAGAGTGTATGGATAACTATATATCAAGCACTCTCCGCTCTCCTCCGTACTATTTCGCTCCTTTTATATACACTCTCCGCTCCTTTCTTGCTCCTCCATCCAACGATTCTAGACTGACTGACTGTCTGTCTGTCTGTCTGTCTGTATATATTGGAGTGCTACGTTCTTGGAGAGTACTTTTACTTTATCCGGAGAGTGGCTTTCGAACGGCTTCTGCAACGGTTGGGTCGGGATTCGTATTTCGGAATTTCCGATTTTACCGCCTTGAACATCATTCGTCCGATTTTGCCATTCCGAAGGGCTCAATCGGGCTATCCCGAACTTTTATTCGCTCTTGATTGAAAAGAGGAGAGAGAAGAACTACTTTATCGTCGAATCTTTTTCGAGGAGGGGTCGGGGTAGTTACACTTGGGATTTGTTGAATCTCTCAATTCTTTCTCAGCCCGTTATCACCTTGTCTCTTCTCCGTTTTATTTACCCTTTCACTTCAGCCGGCACCATGTCGTATGATAGCTCAGTCGACCTGAATTCCATTGCTCAGGTTTTATTTATCGATGGTCATGACTCCTTCGCCCGTAACATCGTGGATCTTCTCGAAAGCACATTGCCCGTGGTGGTCACCGTCGTGTCCATCGATGCCATATGGCCCGTGGACAAGCAAGCCCTTGCGGATGAATATGATGCTATTATCACCGGTCCGGGACCGGGCACTCCCACCAATCCAAATGACGTCGGGTGTATGCTTCACGTATGGGACCTGGAAAATGTTCCTGTCCTGGGTATTTGTCTTGGGTTTCAAAGCCTCTGTGTCCAATATGGAGCCTCCATTTGCAAGCTTCCTGAACCCCGCCATGGCAGAGTGGTCACCTTCGTTCATAGCGGAACAGATATCTTCGAAACCTTGCCGGCAAGCTTCGAGGTTACGCTGTACCACTCTTTGCAAGTGCGCCTAGATCATGAAATTGAGTCATCCGGTGACCTCTCTGATCGCCAGCGATGTTGGTTGCCAAGTCCCAAGTGTCCTGATCTCGTACCTCTCGCCTGGTATCGCGACAGTGCCACTCCCGGGGAAGCTACTCTGATGGCTGTTCGCCACTCCAAGAAACCTCTCTGGGGCCTGCAGTTTCACCCTGAATCTTGCAAATCTGACAAGGCCTGCCGTGACATAATCAGGAATTGGTGGCTGTTTACGGAGAATTTCAATGCCAAACACCGCACGATCTCCCGAAGGAGACTCGATCTTTTTGACCCCTTGCGTGTCGAGGAACGTTATTTCAATGATGCGAACGATATTGTTGAGTGGTGCAGCTCGTCAACCGACGTGTCGGCGTATCGTACCATAAATCGCGGCAGCTTAACGACGGAGAAAATTTGTGAACTTGTTGATGTACCCAATGTACCAAGTGTGGTTATCGATTCGACCTCGAGATTCAGCATTATCTCTGTTCTCAGTCCCGGCGCATGGACGCTCGAGTACTCGATCTCTAAACTGACCAGCACGATCTCACGGCCGTCCGGGTTGAGATCTACCAAGGATCTGGCTCCACGGCAGCCAAAACATGTTTGGGACATGTTGCGTCGGATTCTCTCCAAAAAAAAGGTTGTCGAAGGAAATAAGACCGTCCCGTTTTGGGGTGGCTTTATGGGCTATTTCTCCTATGAAATGGGCCTTGCCGAATTGCATGATGGAGAAGCTCCGGTAGTTAAAAAAGACGATACGGTCGACGTTGGTCTGCTCTGGGTCGAGCGGAGTATTGTGATCGACCGGAAACTTGAAAAAATCCACATTCAGTCCATCCGAGAGTTTGACGATCAGCCGGGGGAATGGATTGACTTTGTTGCGAGACGACTAACTGGCTTCACATATACGAAATCCATGGACAATATCATGCTTAATATTGCGGTCACCTCCCCAGAACCCCTAGAGGAGACGAACTACCTCATGCGCTTGAAATATTCTGACGAGCAGCTGGCGAACATGATGGTCCGTGAAGCCAACATCGTCATACCGGACGAGGACATCTACAAGTCCAAAATAAAAATATGCCAAGAGTACATCCGCGATGGCGAGTCGTATGAGCTTTGTTTGACTGACCAGACAAAAGTCACTCTGCCCCGGTGCGAATATAGACAAGAGTCGGACCTTCGTCCCTGGATTTTGTACAAGCGGCTTCGGAAATACACCCCGGCCGCCTATGGTGCGTTCGCTAGAATTGGGAAAACCAAAATAATCAGCAGCAGCCCGGAATGTTTCATTCAGTATGACAGGTACGGCCAGATCGACATGAAGCCCATGAAAGGGACAGTCAAGAAAAGCGAGGGCATGACGCTCGAGAAAGCAAAAGAAATCTTGAACACGCCAAAGGAGATGGGTGAGAACTTGATGATTGCAGACCTGATACGGCATGATATGTTCAAGGTGTGCAAATCCGGCGGCGTCACGGTGCATAAGCTGCTTGAAGTGGAGGATCACCCTCGGGTCTACCAGCTCGTCTCGCACATCAGAGGCGTTCCAGAAGACCTGCCGCCATCTCTCAAGGAACGGTGCAAAGTCCAACTTGTAAAAAAGGCCAGTCCGCACGATTACTCTGCCCTTCGCCAATGCCTGCCCCCCGGTTCCATGACCGGCGCGCCCAAGAGGCAGTCGTGCGAACTTCTAGCCAAAATCGAGGGACAAAAACGCAGAATCTACTCTGGTGTCATGGGCTATTTCGATGCAGGCGGGGCAGCGTGTTTTTCCGTCCTCATACGAACAGCATATAGTCAATCCAGTGCCACTGATGACGAGGAGGTATGGCATATTGGAGCAGGTGGCGCGGTTACAGCGCTCAGCACGCCGGAGGGGGAGTGGGATGAGATGGTCACGAAGCTGGATACGGTTCTGGGGATATTCCGCCGTTCACCTGACGGCGATGGGGTTGCTGATGCTGATGCTGATACCTGCAAGAAGAAGACGTCTGTGATGCAGGAGATGTTTCAGGACTATCCGGGATATACTACCGATTTCAAGGAGGCGGTTGGAGGCAGGTGTTATAACATTACGACTGAGAAGGGGGATGGCCGTTCTACGTTTGTGAGTGAGAGTGTGCTTATGCCTGTTGACCAGAGGGGCAAGTTGAAGAAGAAGCAGGCTCGAAAGCTTGGACGGAGCAGCAAATAGGGCGGGAGGAAGGGTCTGAATTAGGTTTGGATTTGCATCATTGTAGTAGTATTGTTCCGTTTTCTCTCAATCTCGTTGGCCTCTTTCATTATTGAGGCTTTGATTTTTTTTTTTTTTTTTTTTTTTTGTTCTGCAGCATAGGATACGGTTTTTGGACATTCATACCTATTCACCATTAGGTATGTGGCATACGGCATGACACTACATGGATAACTAATGAATTCTGTTGGGTTCACCAGATGGGGGGCTGTTGTCTGTGGATATTGAGGAGAACATTGGTCACCATGGAGTGTGATACAAGAATTGAAAGAAAGGGCTTAAAAGGGATGGGGCGTTTCAACACCACAGCTGGATATACGTGTTTACTGGTATTCTTATTAACGCTATTGTTACCGTTAAATGTCAAAATGAATGGAGATGACATGACATTGCAAATGGTCATGTTGCGATTCCGCCGTCTCACTGGAGGATAGTAGCTGAGTTTTTCTGCAACGGATATTGCAGTTAGTCAGTTACTTAGTTATAACGAATAGCTGATTCTAACCCTGAGAGAAGTTCTTCCCGTTCCGCCGCTCATGAAGACCCCTTCAAAAGAAAGCATAGATCATAAACATCACTTCTCCTCTAAGCTCATTTCAGAATGCAACATCCCAGTATTCCCTTAAATTTGCTACCTATATGCAGGCATCCATTTATTTGCTCATTTACCAGAGGCAACTTTCGCCTATTCCACGTGACACTTGTTCCTCAGGACCCTCTAAAAACCCATTTTTTCCCTTTGTTCAACAAGGTTCAAGCAAAAAACGTCTTCCCCTGAAAGCTATAAAACCCGGCCTCAGGAACCTGTTATCCTCTTCCGCATCCCTCTTCTTCCAATCTCTCTTCAGGCAATTTAACCTTAGCCAATAATGGCCCTTCTTCAGGCGTGAAGGGTTGCAGAAGCATCAGCCTTGGGCAGCAGGTCAGAGAGCAATCAATCTGTCGGCAGGGATGCCTGTTGGAGGAGGTCTCAAAGAACTTGTGTTCTGCATGTTACTATAGTTATCATTGCTGATGGTCTACTTTTGTTTTCTTGTGTGGGGTTTTTGGCTACTTTTCCTTCTTTTCTTTACTTCACAATCACGATCTTGGACCCCCACTGTTGTTCCAAAGCGTGTTGTTCATTAACAGAGAGATAGATTCCTCAAACCGTTGAAAATCTGCGCAAGTCACTATTAAATACACTCAAAGGCGCACCTTAATTTAATTACACCAATTCTCTTTACATTCTCTATACGATGGAGATCTTCTGTCGAAATATCCCAGACCAGGTCCAGGACAATCACCTGAAGAAGGAGTTCAGACCAGTGCTCTCTCAGTTCGATATCCACTATTTCCACTGTCGCAAACTCCCACATCGAAATGCAGTTCTCACTATCAGTGACGCAGCTAAGGCCTCAAAAGTCCTTGCCCTCTATGGCCAGACCACTGGGCCTGGTAAGAAACGGAGAGCTACCAAACCGTTGAGAATGTTTGGGCAGGTTATTTACCTGGAATTGAGCCGAAATCCGCCAGATAATTTTCTGCTTCTCACATTGAAGAATGAGGAGGAAACGCGTCTCAATCGTGGGAGTACTGTGCTTAGCAACATGCGCAACTCCCGCCATACAGCACCTGTTAAACGGGTCAAGACTTTCTTCATCACCACCATGTCCTGCGGCACGTGGGATTACCATGAGGGGAACCCGGTGTTTATTGAATGTTTTCGCACTGGGAAGATTGGCAAGATAGCGTTCTGCAAGTCGGCTATCCGCGTTACATTGGAAACAGGGACAGACATCTATCATTTGGAGTTTACCTATTCCAATATTCCTGGGTCGATCTATACTGGCACGGAGAACTCGCCTTCCATCACAATCACGGCCAACACCGCGCCAAGACTGTACAAGACGGAGGCGGCAGATGTGATAACTGGGCTAGCATCTCTTGGACTACAACAGAGATGGCCGAGAGGTCTGCCACCAAAGACTAGAGTTGGTCATTTCAGAGACGACCATGCTGCTCTCGCAGGCACTTGCTTCGTCTACAGATTTCTCCTGAAAGACTCCACAGATCTCAAAGCCGTTCGCGACCTTGCCCACGAGCGCCATATCCCGGAGATAGCGAGATGGGTCGAGCATCGCGCAAAGTACGACGTATCCTATTCAACATTGATGGATAGGTTTATGGCCTCCTTGACCGGAGGCGATTTGCCATACCGCGTCATGTTTCAGCTGCAGAAACTAGTATGGAACGGCGCCATATCTCCTGTAAACGCTATCTCATTTGCATACCGTGTTGGAAAGGAGCTGGTCGACGCAGATCTAGATGTTGTTGTTCAAGCCCTTGACAAATTAGAGAGGGATATTCAATGGCCATCACCAGATGTTCAAGCATCTGAGGTTGACGTGGTTGCCTTGATGAAGTTATTTGCGAATGCTCTTGAAATTGTCCTCCGTGAGAGAGCGCTGAGTCGCTCCAATCGCCAGATTCACCTGAATAACATCCTCATCCACCGTGCCCAGGTCACTCCCTGCGGCATTTACCTTTATGGACCCCAACTGGAAACCAAGAACCGAGTCCTGCGCATCTATGAAGCAAATGTCGACCATTTCCTCCGGGTTGAATTTGTGGACGAGAGCGGAGATCCAATCCGATATGACTCCCGTGCATCCGTCGATGCGATATTCCAATCCCGCTTCAAAGGCGTGTTGAAAGAGGGGATCACTATTGCAGGCCGCAAGTTTGAGTTTCTTGGCTTTTCTCACTCGTCGCTGCGCTCCCAGACATGCTGGTTTGTGGCGCCTTTTGTTTCGGGTGGGACTCTATATAACGCAACGGTTATTATTCAGAATCTGGGCAGATTTGACCACATCCATTCCCCGGCGAAACAGGCTGCAAGAATCGGGCAGACGTTTTCAGATACCCTAACCTCGATACCGATATCTTTTGACATGCTTTCGGTGGGTGAGGATGTTGAACGCAATGGACGGGTATTCAGTGATGGCGTTGGCACAATATCGCCTTCTTTGATGTATGAAATATGGAAGGACCATTCGCTGCGGGCGAAGGTGAAGCCTACTGTTTTTCAGATCCGGGTTGCAGGTACTCATTTCCGCCTTCCGTGTCACATCTATAGCTCCGGAGCCTCTTCTTGCTGGCTTCCATGCATATAGTGGCATAATGCTAACTGAGACTTGGTTTATAGGAGCCAAAGGAATGATCGCCCTCGACAGTACAAAAACTGGGAAATCGCTTATGCTCAGAAAATCAATGGTTAAATTCCCTGTCCCGGAAACTGTTGGTGGATTGAATATCGAATTGTGCGGATCCGGGTTAAAGGCTTTGCCCTTCTTCCTAAACGCGCAATTGATCAAAATTCTTGAAGATCTAGGAGTGGAGCAGAGTGCATTTCTAAAGCTACAGGCGGATGAAATTGAGAGACTCCGTGCTACGGCACCGTCAACGGCACAGGCCGCTAGGTTTTTGGAAGATACGCATATAGCAAAGCCGATAGGGCTCCCGTGGCTTATTAGTATTTTGGAAGGCTTCAGACTTAGCCATACTAATGATGAATTCTTGCGACGAGTTATGGAGCTTGCTGTTCTGATTAAGCTACGAGATTTGAAGTACCGTGCTCGAATCCGAGTCCCGAATGCCGTGACGCTCTTTGGTATCATGGATGAAACCGGAATCCTCAAGGAAGGAGAGATTTTCTGCGTTACTCTGAGTGAAGATGGTCACAGAGAGGTGCTTGTCAGACCTAGGGTTGTCGTTACCCGGTCGCCAGCTATGCATCCTGGGGACGTCCAAGTGGCGAGGGCGGTCGATGTCCCAGCCGACTCTCCCCTTCGCCAGCTTCATAACTGCATCGCTTTTAGTCAATACGGCGATCGTGACCTCCCTAGCATGTTGAGCGGTGGTGATCTCGATGGTGATCTGTATAACGTCATATACGATGAAACCCTAATTCCTAAGATAACGGTGCCCCCCGCGGAATACCCCCGCGTGGAGGAGAAGGTGCTTAACCGGCCGGTAGTGACTGATGATATAATTGATTTTTTCGTTACGTTTATGCAGCAGGATCAGTTGGGGCGTATTGCTACGATCCACCAGGCGATTGCTGATCAGCGGGATCGTGGAACTTTCGACGAACAGTGCTTGTTGCTTGCCGAGCTACATTCTACCGCTGTTGACTTCTCGAAGAGTGGAGTTCCTGTAAGTTTCCTTCCTTTCCAGTTGACAGTGCCAAGGAAAAGTCTTGCCCCAGAAAGATGAACGGTATGCTAACCCTTCATTTTGCTAAAATGATAGGTCGACCTTGCACGTATCCCCAAATTCCCACGATACCGGCCAGACTTCCAGGCCCACGGCCCCCGCGTCCGCATCGCAGAAAGTCTGTCTTTGCATGAAGAAGACGAGGAGACGACTGTTCATGACCTTGATGATGAGGACGACGAGCGCCCACCCACCAGGTTCTATAAGAGCTACAAAATCCTAGGAAAACTGTACCGCTCCATAGATGAAGTGGATTTCCTTCACAAATGGCAGCATGCCACGCAGCGTCCCTCGGGATTGGCTGCGCCTAGCGTGCTTATGGGTGTGTGGGCATATGTGCAGGCGGAGACGAAGGGGTTTTTGTGGGATCATCATATTGAGAATGCACGTTATATTCGTGAGATGTATGTGAAACCAGGGGGGCTTATATATATTTGATTTTTGTGTTTTTGGTTTTTTCTGTCTCTCTCTGTTTCTCTTCTCACTTGAACCCCACTAATAGCTTCTGTTTTATCGTGTAGTTATGAAGACAATCTCTGGGGTCTCATGCATCGTTACTCTTCCACTCCCTGGAAGAGTTTTATTTCCGAATACGAGGTATTCGTCGGTAACATATTGGGGCATGGACAGAAACTCTCTCAGCGACAGAAGGATGCATCGACGGAGATGAGAGAAGGTATGCCAAACAATCCTTATTCAAAGAA